GATACTAAAACTCAGTATTTGTATTAAAGGGAGGAATGGGGAAAGAAAATCATACCAAAGGAGACAGTGAGTGGGCAGAAAGGGGTGGGGCAGAGGGCCGGCTCCCAGCCTCCTGCCTGCATTTCCACAACTGCCATAGCCAGACAGGAATTCCCCCCACTTTCCCCGCCCAGCCAGGAGGCCTGCTGGGTCCTGCAGGAACAGCCCTGGTATTTGGAGGAGAGGACTCCCCACCACCACCCAGGCCTTGTCCTGCTTGTCTGGCCTCCAGAGGAGTCACGCGGGGACTCCAGGACGGGTTTGGTCCAGGCTGCAGAATCAGCAAATGACAGTGCTTGCTGCCCAGAGGCTGGCTGCCCTGACGCGACCAGATTCTGGGAGTGAACTTGCGGGCAAGTCCCAGGGGTAGTAGCCTGTGGTGGGTTGGCTATAACGTGAATAACAAAGGGTCAGTATCCATGTTTTAAACAGAATTATTATAAGTGAATTTGGAGAAGGGAATGTCAACCCACTCCAGTATTCTTGGGTGGAGAATCCCATGGACAGAGGAGCCTGGAAGGCTACAGTCCATGGGGTCGCAAAGAGTTGGATGTGACTGAGCGACTAACACAATAAATGAATAAGGCAAAGTCAGATGATTTAATTAGGAAGATGGATAAAAAATACAAATTGGTGATTCAGAGATGGAATACATCTCTGTATGTGAAAAGATGCTCAACCCACTAGAAGTTAGGGAAATGCAAATTGACAGGCATTTTTTCTTTTCTTTTTTTTGCCTCTCAGCTTGACAAGAGCTCAAAAGCTTGCCATTATCCATAGTTAGTTAGGGGAGGGAAACGGAGACCATCCATACCATAGATGGTCTTCACTTATTGAAAAAGCCGCAGAGCCTGCTAAAAGTCACGCCCCTAACCTGCACCATCCAATCCCAGCCAGGTGCTGACCTCCCCTGGCCATTGGCTCACCTGCTGGCCCATCCTGAGATCTGTTATCACAGGGGGTGCGTTGGTGTGTTTCTATTTGACAGCAGGCCCCTCTGAGGCAGACCTGGGGTTTGTTCCCTTCCAGCCCCTCCCACCCTCCTGAACTTGCGCCCCACCAGGTGGTCAAATCCATTGGCCCCTGGTTGGCTGGGGCTACTGGTTCCTGTCCTCATGGACCCTCCTCCAAACCTCCTCCTCCTTCCCCGCTGTCACCTGCCTCAGGCTGGTCTGCACCTTCCATTCTCCTGCTCTGTTATACTTATGGGGGAAAGAGCCCCCACCACACCGAAAGCAGGAGTGAGACCCCCTTATTTAACAGACATGCGGACAGACCCATGTGTGTGCTCAGTCGTGTCCAACTCTGCGACCCCACGCACCGCAGCCTGCCAGGCTCGTCTGTCCATAGAATTCTCCAGGCAAGAATACTGGAGTGGGTTGCCATTTCCTTCTCCAGGGGATCTTCCCAACCCAGGGATCGAACCCGCTTCTCATGTCTCCTGCATTGGCAGGTGGGTTCATTTTACCCCTAGCACCACCTGGGAAGCCCACAGACCCATAGGGCAAACACAATAGCTAGAGGGTCCATAGGAGCAAACAGCATTCATTGCAGGTGAGTTTTATCAAGTGAAGGGGATTAAAGGTTTTCAGATGATCCATTTTAACAAATATAACAAGGCTTATAAAATTTATTAAATAAATGCAACCAATAATAAAAAGCATATGCTTCAATTTCCACTTTAGGCCCAGAATATCTGAAAGAGGAAGCTGGTGTGTGAGTTAGGGAAGGTGTGAAACTGAAAAAGTGATCTGGGGTCCATAGACACAGATGTGGAAAGGAAGGCCTAACAGGAGTCAACGTTTTAGGAGGAGAAGCAGTGTTGGAAAGGCTTTCTGATCCCACCTGGAAGTGGACTGGGAGCATTCGGTCACCTTCCTTGTATATTCTGAGAAACCACTGTTCAGAGCTCAGAGCTTCTGTTTGGACTCTAGGAGGGTGGCCCTCTGTAAGGCGGTTATAATCCAGGCTTCACGCACCACTCAGGCTACTGAAGACCAGTGCACTGGCCATCACACCCACACATGGCGGCTGTGTCTATGCCCTGTCTGAGTTAAATTTTACAAGTCCTAAAACTGTCTACATAAATCCATGCTTACCTCCTAATGAATGTCTTGTCTAGAAGGATTTAAAGCATAGGAATAAGATTAGGAGACTTCACCGAAGAAAGAGACACAGGCTGGAAGTCAAAGTAAAGATTTATCCTTGCAACAGAATGTTTTGGATCTTGCAATTTGCATATACAAATTCAGCAACATTCACTGGCATTGGAATCAGAGCAAGATCAAATGATAAATGGAATAAAACAAAAAAAAATGATAGTTGAAACCAGAATACATACATATAAAGATTGCACATAAATTAAACACAGCTTAGTTAAACACAACAGAAATATCAGTAATCATACATTAAAAAAAAAAAAAGGCATGTCTCCAAACGCTGAAACAGAGGCATCAGGCTCATTTTAAAAAGTTTTAAAAAACACATAAAAATATCTTTTAAAACACTGGTATGCATTCTTCATTCATAGAGCACATGGAGAGAAACACTAAGAGTCACACAGTGACCAATAGAACAAGGAGATCAGAACGGTCGTCTTCTAATCACTATTTGGCATTTGAATGCAACTGCATGCAACAGAGAAAAACGTCAAAGGAAAAATGATTTTACCGGCATGGTGCTGTTCAGTTATGTACAACGGACTTTCTTTGACCCAAGGGGAGGAGGTGCCAACTTTCAGGTCAAGACAGACAGGATGCAGAGTCCTGGGGCGCCCACCGAGGCTGGAATCAGAGCTGCAGGGTGGTGGCGGGGGCCTGGAGGCTGGTGACCGAGCCCCCTGGGGAGGCAAGTGCTGCCGTGATTGTGGAGGGAGCAGGGTGCTGCACCCGAAGGCCAGTGGCCTTTGCTGTGTTCTCAGAACCACCAGGGTGGAGCCTCCGTAGATGCGGGTGATGGCCCAAGGGGCAGGACATACACACAAACAGGGTGCTTTCCCGAGGGCACCCCTGAAAAGGTCTCCCTTAATCCAAGACACGAGGTGTCAGCTAGACCACGAAAGGGCCTGCAGGATGCTCAGTAAAGGCTCCTGAAGTTGGACCCCCATCCAGGCTCTTGGATGTTATGATCCCTGTGTTGCCATCACTGCAAACAGCAGCTCTGCTTCTAGGCTTCAGTGCTCAGTTTTCTCTCTTCCCCTTTAGTCAAAGAAGGACTTCGGGCTCGGGACTTTAACAATGAAAACAAATGGGGCCACCTGGTGCATCTCGCAAAGCTCCCTCAGTGTTGCTCTTTGACCCAAAAGCATCCTCATTGTGCCCAGAAGGGAGAGGGAGGCGGTTGGCGGTGTGAGGAGCACAGGGCTGCTGCTGGTGGCGTGGCAGCGCTCACAAAGTTGTGCTTTCGTCCATCCAGCCGGGTGCCTCCTCTGACCCTCGGGTGGGGCGTGGAGGAGTGGAAGAATCTTAATTACCTGTGGGCCTGCTGTTAGGACATCACCTACCCTGGGTTGTAATTGTGCAATCAGTTACCAGTGGAAATATCAAATTAGGTCTTTAGATTCATATCTCTTTTAGAAAAAAAAAATGTACCCCAAAATGCACATGTTAAATGAGTCCAGAAAGGTAGACCAGATGTCTTTTTTTACATTGTGCTCATCTGCTTAGGCACCTGATGATCATAGACAGGTCACTGCCATTGAACCTTTTCATGTTCATCCTCTTTTTTTGGTTCCAGAAGCCAATCCTGTCTGGCAATGAGATCACTATTATCCAGTGTCAGAAGTCTCAATAGGAACCATTCAAAAATAAGTTAGTCTTTAGAGTAAGGATTTCTCTTTCTTTCCTTTTATTAAATATTAAGGAGTGGGACTTAAAAAAAACTGTATAAATCTAGATTTTAAGATTTTTTTTTTACAAACAGTCTTAACTTTTACAAGAGATTTTTTTAAAATACCAAAACACTTCTCAGAAAGTTTAAAGCATAATTGCTTGTGGTTGCCCGACTGTTTCTCCCAGGCAGGAGCTCCTGGCTTCTCTGTGCATGTCAGATGCGCTATCTGACCTTTTGGAATGGGAAGTGATTTTTTTATTGTGCCTCGAGGTATAGCTCATGACTAGCAGGGCAGAATGGTGGGGTGCGGGTTGGGGGCAGAGGAGTGAGAAGGGCAGTGGGTGTGATTCTCAGGGGGCCATCCGAGTCCACCACCCAGACAGATAGACAGCAAGCAGCGCCAGGGAAGTGAAGCTCTGAGAACTGGTTTGCTGGACCCGAGGCCACACGGCCACTGGACCACTGGCCTTCACATCTCTTTTTGTCTCGACAAGATAGCACAACACAGTCTTGAATAAATGCATTTCTGAGTGTCACCCATAGCCACCGACTACTCCAGTGTGTTTCAGACCTGGACTCAGGTTGTAAAGTCTTCTTTGATCTTTAAAAGCTAAAGGTAAAACCACAGGGGCCGAGACTGAGGACTGCAAGACTCCTTGTTTACACCGTGTCTTCATGAACAGTTTGCCTTCAAAAAACTGCCACTGCTCAGGGCTGTGAAATCAACATCAGGAAATTTTCCACTGATTTCTGAGTCCTCGACCGTTTCCTAATGAAGTCGTGGTTAGTACCTTGCATAAACACACTCGGCATATTAAGATTTTTAGCATTTAGAGGTGTTGACTGCGTGAAGTTAAATGATATGAATCTAATGAAAAATTAAAATATTTTTTACTGATATTAGCAGAAATATATATTTTGTGGGATATTATTTGACCTTAATACATTATTCCAGTTTTTAAAGGGCATATTTAAGATTTAATAACTGTACAGCAGGTGGCCTTTAAAGCATAACAAAATATATACAAAGAAATTAAGAAGGATATTAATGTCAACTATGAAATAAATTAACATGATTTTTACAAAATATACTGACCATTAAATTAAAAAATATTTTAAGGCAGGAATTTTCATTTGAAATTAGCATAATCAGAAAATATATCAATAAAATCTTGTACCACTTTGTAGCAGAATTCATACTGTTCCTGAAAAAGAAAACCAAGAACATATTAAAATGATATCAAAGATACATTTAATTAATTTAATTAGAACACTAAAGAGAAGACATAAAAAAGTCTGACCAGTTATTAAAATACTGTCTATCCTGATGCATATAAACTTCTGCTACATAATTTAGTTTTTAGGCACACGATGTTTCCAAATAAAGCTATTTTTCTACATAGAAATGTCAGTGTTTCAACTCAGTGTATTTTGGACTCACTCTCTGAGTGAGAGATCTCTATTTTTCACATTTAAACTAAAAACCACTACTTCGGAACGAAAAAATAATAGCAAACTTAACCTCAAACTTCATAATGCAATGAAAATAATCTATAAAAGTTAAATAAGATGGAAATATAGATTATTTTTAAACCTAAATTTACACTACAAAAGGGAATTGCTATATATCAATTTTACTAAACTTTAAAAGAATGATGTATCTTGTATCTGTGGGTGTGTGCACGCTCAGCTGTGTCCGATTCTTTGTGAATGCACAGACTGCAGCCCGTCAGACTCCTCTGTCCACAGAATTTTGCAGGCAAGAATACTGGAGTGGGTCACCACTTCCTACTCCAGGGGATCTTCCCGACCCAAGGCTTGAACCCCCGTCACTTGTGCCTCCTCCACTGTCAGGCACGTTCTTGGCCGCTGGGCCACTGGGAAAGCCCCACCGCACATCTGCGTGAGGCTCTTAACTTATTCGCACACGTGGACATCGCCTGACTTCTGACCTTCCAGCAGCTCTTTGAGGTTGCGAGACTAGAGGCCGGTGATGGGTTAATGGGGGACCAGTGAGCAGGGCATGTGACGCCACCAGTAAGGAGCACTGAAAAGAAGAAATGAGGACTTGGCTGGTGCTCCAGTGGGTAAGCCTTGGAGCTTCCAAGGCAGGCTGTGCGTGTTCAATCCCTGGTCGGGGAACTGAGATCCCACAGGCTGGGCAGTGCGGCCAAAGTGGGGGGAAAAAAAGAAGACGAGATGAAAGAGAAGGGGAAAATGCAAACACCTGGACTTTCCTGGCAAGCCTACCATGCGAGCAGAAAAACCATGTGAGCACAATAGTAAGCAGGCAGGAGAGTGGACCCCAGTGGTGTGAGGAACAACAGACGGCAGCTACCCTTGCAGACCCTGGTAACTTGCTGGCCCAGTGAATATGGGAGCTGGGGAAGTAGGGGGCCCAAGGCAGGCTCCTGGCCCCCCCCACCTCTTTCCCAGCACCCTAGGTTCAGCCTCTTACTTAAATTCACATTGAACAAGAATCCACCAGCCTTTGGGTTGGAAGAGGCCAAACATTAGCCCGTCTAGCCCTTCTGGGGTCTCGGTCCAGCCAGCATGGGACAGAGCTGTGCTTTCCAGGGAAAGAAAGACGGGGCCGAAAGCTGCTGTCCTGTGGCAGAGGCTTTGGGAGAGTCAAGAGTCACTACGGGGTCCTTCCTTCCAGCTACTAAGATCCCATCCGGTCACCCAGCCCTTGGAAGGAAGGAGAAAGTGCCTGCGTCAGGACTGAGTGAGCATGGAGAGCCAGTGGGCTGTGCCAGGGGGCCTGGGATGGCAAGTCCTAAAACGGGAAGCCTTGGGGAAAACTCCAATCCTTTGGCCACCTGATACAAAGAACTGACTCATTGGAAAAGTCCCTGATGCTGGGAAAGATGGAAGGTGGGAGGAGAAGGGGACGACAGAGGATGAGATGGTTGGATGGCATCACCGACTCAATGGACATGAGTTTGAACAAACTCCGGGAGTTGGTGATGGACAGGGAGGCCTGGTGTGCTGCAGTCCATGGGCTTGCAAAGAGTCAGACACAACTGAGCGATTGACCTGAACTGGAACTGAACTGAGGAAAATATATCCCTGGAGAACGGCATGGCAACCCGCCCCACTGTTCTTGCCTGGAGGATCCCATGGACAGAGGAGCCTGGTGAGCTACAGTCCATGGGGGTCTCAAAGAGTCAGACATGACAAATACTTTCACTTTTCGTGGGAAAAGCAAGGGGTTATAACCGTCTTGAAAACTGAACTTGCTGTTGCAGGACAATCACTAAATTTGGTAGGGAGGCATTTCTTCTGAAAACCAGAAAGGGTGGGTTTTCACCACGGAATGAAGGAAAACCTATGGGCAACTGCGCTCTGCATGGATTCCTTAAGCCCCCTGGGCGGCATCTGGAGGCTGAGTGAGACCCAGCCAAGGACAAGAGTCCACATGGCCCGTGGAAGGCAGAAGATGACAAGAATCAGGACCGTAAATGTCACCGCTGCTTGTGAACATCTGTGTCTGTAAACGTAGACTGGTATCTGCAGGAACAGTTCGCTGACACGCAGCTGGGCCTCTGTCCAACAGGTCTTATCATCCAAAGCCAGGGCTGTGCCCGTCCTCATGTGTCTGCCCAGAGGACAGACCCCACCCCGACGCAAGGGAGGAAGGGAGTCGGTGACGCTTGACTGTATGCTGTCTGGGACTTTCAGCTCTCTGTCCTGGAAACATAACCTCCCTCCTTCCTTCCTGGTGGGCTAGAGCTCCTTCGGTGCAACATACATCAAATGCAACAGGAGACAATTCTCAACCCCTCTGGAAGCCGTTTCTTACCAGGGTTTGCACCATGTGTGGCCTCTGAAGTCGTAAACTCTTCACAGCTTGGAATACGTCTAAAAGCCCCTCAGCCTTGACCCGTTCCAGAATGTTGCTGAGTGCTATGAAAGTCCCCGTCCGCCCCGCTCCAGCACTGCAGAGAGAACATGGGGTGAGACACCGAAAGTCGCCCGCGGGGATGAGAAACCACAGCCTCCACCAGGCCCTGCACGCCAGCGCCAGCGCGGGAATGACCGGAGCTCGGATCTTTAACAACCGTTGTACATGTAGCTTGGCTTTGGACCGAGAGTCAGCCAACACAGACATCCTCAAGAACGTGCCTAAATGTAACATGAGTCAGATCAGAACCAGGGACGAGTTTCCAAGCTGATGGACCCATTTCCCTTCCTCCTTGTAGAGGAATGGCCATCTCAGAGGATGGCCCCTGGACTGACAGCAGCTACGTCACCTGCAAACTTCTTAGGAGTGAAACTGCACCTCCGTCCCGGTTCAGGCGTAGGGAGCTGCAATCCTGGCCCAGACTGCCCGTGTGTGCAGGGACCACCCTCCGAGACGGGAGGCGTGCAGGTGGATGGAAGGGGTGGCTGGGACAAAGGACAGCCCCTGCCAGGAAGGGTCTGAAAACTGACCCTTCCCAGCAGTGAAGGTCTGCACCTCCTCTACTTAACAGCATCGTTCAGATAAACCTTGCGGGAGCAGACCCTCTGGGGAGAGAGAGAGCAGGCCTGATGGAGGCAGGCTTGGCTGGCTGCTTCCACGGAGCCCTCGGTGAACGCGGAGCTCTCGTGAGGCCCCAGATCCCGACTGTGGGCTTCGCTCATCTTTGTTTGCATCCCGGGTGCCCGACACCCGTAACGTTCAGTCTGGGTTGGTGGGGGCGGAAGGAGGAACTCAGTCCTCCTTTCTTCTAAAGGACATCGACGAAGGTACCAGGGACTGAAAACCTAGGTGTGTGCACCCCCTGCTGGCTACGCCTGAAGCGCGCATCTCTGGGTCCAAGGTCAGGAAAGAGGCCAGACCAACCCTCCAGGTTAAGCTGGACTTTGTCGACATGAGGGGTAAGTGGGTGGGGGCCAATGGCAGTCAGAAAAATGGGAGCCACATGTAGACAGACGCACAGAAGTGCAGTTTTAGAAGCTAATTGGACCCCACCCCAAGATTAGACATCCCAAGCTTCCACAAATCAGACCCCACCCCGAGATCAGTCACCCCAAGCTCCCGCAGGAAGAGTTTTGCAAGGGTGGTCAAGGTCCCTTCCAGCAGGGGGGCCTGGCCCAGAAGGAAGCAGAGTGAGCATGTCTCCATAGGATTCACCCTCTGCCTCGTAAAGCTGTTTATCAAGGTTCTTGCTGGGGGCGTGTCCTGCTGTGTCCAGGTGCCCCCTGGTGGGCCCCTCTGCCCATGGTGGGGGGTGGGGGGCTTGGGAGCCAGGCTGAGTGGTGTCAGGATGGGCTGGGTCTGCGGACCCTCTGTTATAGACCCCAGCCTGGACATTCCTGAGTAGTCAAGAAAAGCTTCCTGCTGCGCTGGTTGGGCATGCCAGCCAGAGCCCCGCCGGTCTTTCAAAATGAAGGTAACTCAAGTTCAGGGTTTGTTTGAGCTGTGCTTGGAAATGTGTGTATGTGGGTGTTTTTTTTTTTTACGACTTAAAAAGCACACAGACATGTGTCTGAGTTGCTTCCTGACTCCTTTTCACCAACTGTTTCTGCAAGTCTAGGAAGATATTTATGCATTTGTGTTAAGTCTGGGAGCGGGGGAAGGTGAAGAAGACAGTCCAGGGAAGCGGTGCTGCTGGGAGCAGTGGGCTGAGCGTGGGGTCCGCGGGGGGCCCACCGGGAGCGGGGCGCCCCGGCCCCGGGGCCCACTTACCTGCAGTGCACGGTGATGGGGTGGTTGCCGGTCTGCTGCTGCTGCTTCTGCACGGCCGCGATGAGGTCAATCATGCCTTTGCCCTCGGCCGGGATCCCGATCTCTGGCCAGCCGTGGAAGTGGAATTGTCTCACCATCCGCGTCTGCTCCTCCGGCCGGGCCAGGGGCTGCTAGGCAGGAAGAGTGTCTCAGGGCTGCGTGGTCACAGCCGCCCAGCTGCCCTCCCAACCCCGTCCGGAGGGCATTCATGCCATAGGCTCGAGCAGCCCACGGAGTTCTCATCTGGCTGGCCTCCCAGATGCTGGCTGCTCGTCGGCTGTGGTCACCCTAAAGCAGAAGGCCAGCCGTGCCTCCTCCTGGGTAGGGGTCACGACCATTAGAGGATATTCCCCGGAGCCCCCAGGGCCTGCGAGACCCCGTTACGGAATCCTGGGCAGTTTTGCTTGAGATGACAAGGATCATCCCTTTTTTGTAAGAAGCCAGGACCCATTTCCCTGATAGCTCAGCTGGTAAAGAATCCACCTGCAATGCAGGAGACTCCGGTTAGATTTCTGGGTTGGGAAGATCCACTGGAAAAGGGATAAGCTACCCACTCCAGTATTCAGTATTTTTTTTTCGCATTTATTTTTATTAGTTGGAGGCTAATTACTTTACAATATTGTAGTGGTTTTTGCCATACATTGACATGAATCAGCCATGGATTTACATGTATTCCCCATCCCGATCCCCCCTCCCGCCTCCCTCTCCATCCCATCCCTCTGGGTCTTCCCAGTGCACCAGCTATCACCCACCTCCCAGAATATTGGAAATAAAAGCAAAAATAAACAAATGGGACCTAATTAAACTGAAAAGCTTTTGCACAACAAAGGAAACTATAAGCAAGGTGAAAAGAAAGCCTTCAGATTGGGAGAAAATAATAGCAAATGAAGAAACAGACAAAGGATTAATCTCAAAAATATACAAGCAACTCCTGCAACTCAATTCCAGAAAAATAAATGACCCAATCAAAAAATGCGCCAAAGATCTAAACAGACATTTCTCCAAAAAAGACATACAGATGGCTAAGAAACACATGAAAAGATGCTCAACATCACTCATTATCAGAGAAATGCAAATCAAAACCCCACTCCAGGATTCTTGGGCTTCCCCGGTGGTTTAGCTGATAAAGAATCTGCCTGCAATGTGGAAGACCTGGGTTCGATCCCTGGGTTGGGAAGATCCCCTGGAGAAGGGAATAGGCTACCCACTCCAGTATTCTGGCCTGGAGAATTCCATGCCGTATAGACCATGGGGTCGCAAAGAGTCGGACACGACTGAGTGACTTTCTCTTCCAGGACCCACCATGTCCCTTCAAGGCTGGGGATGAGTGGTTTCAGAGCCTAGGGGCCCTGGGTCTTTCTGTGACCCACACGGAGAAAACCAAGTCTTTGGGCAAAGCTGGGTTTCACTGTACCGATCATCTTGAGCTCAGAATCGGAACCCATAGGTGGGTCATTTTACCCATGGTTGACACACAGGGAGAGTTCCCAAGACCTGGCTGGTGGGGGGGGGGGTGGTGGGAGGCTCTGAGAAGGGGTCTGGCAGAGAACCCCAGGAGGCCTCTGTGGCTTCACCCAGTCATTCCTCCTGCTCTCTGACCCATGGCTGTTTCTCCCAGGGAGTGGGCAGCAGCAGGATGCCTCTTGGGGTCGGCTACTTGGCCCCATCATCTCCAGGCTCCAGCAAGGAGCTTGGGGAACGATCATGGAGGTGAAATCTTACGGGAGATCAGCCACTCAGTAACACAGCTGCCCGCTGCCCACACTGACCACTGACGCGAACGTGGGGATCTGGAACAGCGTGAAGGACAGGACGTTCTGGCACAAAGAGCCCACACGACCACCGCAGGGTGTCCGTAAGAGACTGAAGGTCTCTGGCAACAATACCTGATTGAAGGTGACCAGGAAGTCTCGTATACTGATGGCTTCAGAAAGGGTATCACTCTTAATTTCGATCGTTATTTCTCCGTGAGTCACTGAGCCCTCTGTTGGCCAATACTGGTAGCATTTATCCTGGGGGATAAAATAAAAATGTTTTAGGTCTCGAAATAAAGAATTTGCTGCCAGCAGTTTTAACAATAGGATGCAGACATGCTGTCAGACCATTTAATGTATTTCATCTGAACAAGAAAATAGCACATGAACATAAATATGAATGCCACTAGTGCCTGCTGACCAAGGGAACAAAGCAGACAGTCTAGGAACACACATGAGTGTGTCTGCAACTTTGATACAGAACAGAAACGACATGACACAGAGGAGGGGCCAGTACTGGAGCTGAAAAATCAGCTATCTGTATGGGAAAAGTGAACTGGATCCCTAACCCACCAGCTGCCTGGGCTGATATGAATGCCCTCCTGGAGTTGGGCAGTGTACAACCTACACTACTGTGTATGGCAGCCTTGAAGTTTAATAAAAACAAACCAAGGGTGAGACTTGAAGTAAAAAATAAAATTGTGAAAGCTTTAGAAAAAATATCTTTTCATTTTGGGGTACAGATTTACCAAACAAGAACCCCAGAGAGCTAACCAATCATGACAAAGAAGATCTCAATATCAGATTATATTAAAATTAACTCTGTGTCATCAATAAACATTTTGTTGTTGTTTAGTCACTAAGTTGTATCTGACTCTTTTGTGACCCCATGGCCTGCAGCCCACCAGGCTCTTGTGTCCATAGGATTTTACAGGCAAGAATACTGGAGTGGGTTGCCATTTCCTCCTCCAGGGAAATCTTCCCCACCCAGGGATGGAGCCAGCATCTTCTGCATTGGCAGGCAGATTCTTTACCACTGAACCAGTTGGGGAATTCCAACAAACATTGAGAGAGTAAAAAGACAGGCCATCAACTGAGATGAGATACTTGCAATACATAAAAGCAACAAGGAATCATTATGAAGAACATATAAAGAAATCCTCTAAATCAATAAGAAAAGTGCAAACAACCCACAAGAAAAATGAGTGGAAGGCATGGACAGACACTTTGCACAAGAGGAAACATGTCATCATCTATAAATAAACAAAGTGATGCCTGACCTCAGAGTGATCAGAGAGATGCAAATCAAGGCCACAAAGATGATATTTATACCTATTCAGTTAACAAAAATGAGGATGCCAGACAACCCTAGGGATGTTGATGAATGATGTTCACTCTGTGTCCGCTTTGGAAACCGTAACTACTTTGGAAAGCTATTAGGAGCTGCCCTGCCTATTCAAATGTTCACACACTCTCCAGCGTGGCATTTTTGTCTCTGAACCTTGCGATTCCTCATGCATCATGAGACACATGTGAGAAAATACCCACAGCACTGTTTGTAAAAAAAACAAAATGGATCAACCCAAATGCCCATGACGGGAGGAGGGGCAAGCCAGCGGATGCAGGGTGTACAGTCTGTGTCGTGGAGCATAAGGAAATAATGGCGAGTGAGTCACAGTTACAGGCAGCAACACAGAAAAATATCGAATGCATAACTCTGAGCGGAAAAGCCAAGTCTCGGAAGACTCATACCTTGTGTGAAAGTCACTCAGTTGTGTCTGACTCCTTGTGACCCCATGGACTGTACAGTCTGTGGAATTCTCCAGGCTGGAATACTGGAGTGGGTAGCTGTTCCCTTCTCCAGGGGATCTTCCCAACCCAGGGATCGAACCCAGGTCTCCTGCATTGCAGGCGGATTCTTCACCAGCTGAGCCGCCAGAGAAGCCTACCTTAATGGTACCCTCTCATATGAGGTTGAAAAGCAGACAAAACTAAACAGTAGCTTCTTTAGGAATATATATACTCAATAAAGAAAGATTTCTTAAAAAGCTAAGAAAACATCCACTAGGATAGCTTAATTAAAAAGATAATTATAAGTGTTGATGAGGATGGGGAGAAACTGGAATGCTTGTACATTACTGGTGGGGCATCTGCTTTAACGGTTAGAGTTTGCAATATAGTTATGACAGGCCCCAGCAGTTCCACCCCTAGGCATCTACCTAAGAGAAATAAAAATATATGTCCACATAAAAACATATATTTCATAAAAAAAATCCATGAATGTTCAAAACAGTATTCGAAGTGAAAACAACCCAAATGTCCAAAAACTAATCAATGAATACACAAAATTTAGGGCCATACTATTAAAAAAAATAGCGAGGAACTGATTCATGAATGAACCTTATAAACATGCTAAGTGAAAGTGCTCAATCACAAAAGACAGGTGGTATGATTCTATTTATATGAAATGTCCAGATGAGGCAAATTCACAGTCAGAAAGTAACTAATCTGTGGTTGCAGGGATTGTGGGGAGGGAGTAGGTAGTGGCTATTCATGGGTATGGGGTGTCTTTTCAGGTGATGACAATGATCTGGAATTAGTAATGTTGTACAACTCTGTGGGTATACTAAAAACCACGGAACCATACACTTTAGAAAGATGAATTGCATGATGTGTGAGTTAAATCCAAACAAAACTGTTTTTAAAAAGCAAAGAAGTCAAAACCCACAAATTCGGGGTAGTGGATACCTCTTGGGAGAACACCTAGGTAAGTGTATGTTATCGGCAAAAGTTTGTTTTTTCAGTTGGATGATGGGTTCACAAGTGTTTATGATGTTATTAAATAAAAACAAGAAGACTCTGTGCCTCTGGATGGATCGCTGGGAGAAAAGAAATATTTAACCCATTCACTTCTACCAGGACTGTATTAATTAGGCACACATTTCAATACCTCCGTCTTTTCGTCCCAAGAAAAGTGAATAAGGGTCTTTTTCTTCAGCAGGTTGTGATCAAACATGTATTTGTGGCAAAGACAAAATGGCAAAAGTCCAAGGCAGGTTGAAGGCGGCTCGGACGGTAAAGCGTCTGCCTACAATGCGGGAGACCCGGGTTCTATCCCTTGGTCAGGAAGATCCCCTGGAAAGGAAGTGGCAACCCACTCCCGTACTCTCGCCTGGAAAAATCCCATGGACGGAGGAACCTGGTGGGCTATAGGTCCATGGGGTCGCAAAGAGATGGACACGACTGAGCGACTTCACTGTAAATAAAATGCAGGCTGAGAACAACAGCCAGTGGGCAGTCACAGTGAACTGGAGTGGGGAAGGGGGAGTTGAAATAAACCCTTTTCATTTGCAGCCTCTCTCCCTCTTCTAGTCGTGGCCTGGCCTCACAGCTGGTGGCAGGTGAGGCCGTCCCAAGGGACAGGCAGCCCAGCAGGTGGGCTGCAGCTGGTGCGCGTGAGCGGCCCAGGAGCGGGGCGGGGGCGAGCTGACCTGCTCTCTCTCCTGGACTTCGGTCAGCATCACGATCGTGTGGCACTTCCACTCCCAGACCATCCTCCAGAAGTCCTCCACCGTGTGCGCCAGGGGCCCCTGGGTGGCGATGAAGTAGTCCTTCTGCCGGTAGCCCTTCGAACGGATGGGAGCAGAGGTTCAAGCCTGGCTTCCTCCCACCGCGCACCCACGTGGGGACGTGCGTTTAGGACAGCCCAGGGCCTCACGAGGGACAGCATTCTCCAGACTTCCGGGGCCTGAGCCGAGCCCCAGATGGCACAGGCTCGGAAAACAGGTCAAGATGCCCCTTCAGCTCTGTGCGGATGTAACGCGGCCCTTGCTTGGACTGGCTTTGATTCTATTAAGAATGCGCCTGTATGTGTCGCAGCTGACTTAGCATCAAGGCAGGGCAGAGAGGGTGCAGAGCTGGAGGAAGTGAGTGAATTCCCCGGTTCCTGGCTTGGGGCCCGCGTGGCCCGACTCTGGCACAGCGTCCTCTCGTCTGTAAACCAGAATCCGTGCAGACTTGACTGCAATGCTGTCTCCCGCCCATTCAGCTCTGCCGTGCCCAAGGCAGCCTGTGACCAGGCCTGAACGGAACTGTGCTGTCCACGCAGAGGTCACAGGACAGAAAGCGCGTGCAAGCAGGGACAGAGGGCTGGAGTGTAACAGCGAAGCAAAAGAGGAGTTACGATGTATTAACAGAAAAGCAGCCAATTATTTAGTAGTGCACGTACATCCTCTATTTCAAAGTTCCTCATTCTTTTTTTTTTTCAGCCAGAGAACTGGTTTGGCTTTCTGGGGCCATGTCCACCCTTTCTGATTGTGAAAACAAGTAGAGGAGGAGACCGTGATCACAGGTGAGGGGAGCTGTCATCCTCACCATGCACGCAGGCTCGGGGGGACCCAGCACTTACGTCTATAAAGGACGCGTTGATGTAGTCCGTGTACTCCTGGCCCCTCTTCATGGACAGAATCACGCGGTTGAAGTCGTCTGCAAAGTAGTGTGTCCCCTTGGTCAGAAGTGACCCCATCCTGCCTGGCAAACTTGAGCTCACTGTTAGGAGCTTCCGAGACACAAAGCTTATGGGTAAAATCACTAAATACAGTCAACTACTTGGAAGGTTTCCTTTCTAAACTAGGTTCTTTCAAGTGGCCGGGGCAAGCTGTGTTTTGTGAGGAAAGTTCTCAAATAACTGACTTGATGTCTTCATCGGTCATAAACTGAGATGCTGGACTGTGCCTACTCGCTCAGTCGTGTCTGACTCTTTGCAACCTCATGACTGTAGCCCACCAGGCTCCACTGTCCTTGGGAATTCTCCAGGCAAGAATACTGGAGTGGGTAGCCTATCCCATCTCCAGGGGATCTTTCTGATCCAGGAATCGAACTTGGGTCTCCTGCATGGCAGGCAGATTCTTTACCAGCTGAGCTCCCAGGGAAGCCCTAAATTGAGGTCATTCATACCAAAACGTAAGCATTAAAGTAAATTTAAGGAATCAAAGGAGGGTGGCCAGGCAAGCAATGAGGGGTAGCCTGCCGGAGACATCACGGCCATAGAGACCCCGGGGTCTGAGGCTGCAGACGGCTTGCTCAGCCCCACACCCTGCCGGCCTGGGCAGGTCCACGTGAGGTCCTGCTGCTGCGGGAGCTTGGGGTCCAGCAGGGGATGGGAGGGGAGGTCCGGGTGAGCCCTCCCGCCTCCCCGCCCCCTGGGGTTCCTCCAGTGCCTCTGCTCCTACCAGGCTTACAGGCTTTCCGTCCCCCCAGACCCCAGGCTGCCGAGCGCCCGATGCCTCCCTTCCCCACGGTTTGCGGGCCCCAAGGCCTCTCCCTAGAAGGTCTCAGCTGAGAGCCCTTCGGGTCCGGCTGCACAGTGAGGGCCAGGACCCCACTCTGTACAGGGGGGTGTCGTGCCTCCACCCAGGCTTGGGGGAGGACGGGATGATGTCTCATAGTATCAGGGGACACCACGTCAGGCCCGAAGCTCATCCCTCCGCTTCCAGGAAGTCCCCCTCCCTCTCCCGCTTCCAAGCCCGCGTCACAAGCTGCCTGCCTGACACCCTACGGGACAGCCTAGGTCACTCACGTCTTCACAGGTGGGCATTCTCTTCCCCACACTTGACAGAGCTCCCCGAGGGCACCCTGCCCTGGACCCCTGGTTTACAGAAGCGGGTGGTCAACGACCTTCCAGCGACGGAAGCCCCAGGGTATCCGCCCAACCCTCCGCGGATGGCCCCTTACATGGAATGATCTGGATGACCCTGGCCTTCTTCATGTTCGCGGGCAGGTTGCCTGTCCTCATGTTCTCCTTCATGATGCGGACATTTGTCAGTTTCTGCAGCCAAGAGAGACACAGCTGCGCAGTTAAAACCTTGATGTTCCCAAGAGACTGCTCAGCCTTCTAACCCCACTGCCATTAAGGACACCCGCTCAGAGGAAACACCTGTCTCCATCTACAGACGCGGCCCGAGTCTTGGGAGATAAAAGGTGCACGTACGATATTCCCCCCACCCCCACTGACATGGGTGCAGAGCTCTGAAAGTTCCGGTGACTCTTCCGCTGAAGGTCACGGGCAGGACGGACCCCCTTGCTTTTCCGGGGGTTCCTAGGGGAGGAAGCAGCTGCAACCAGCTTTGTGTGAACGAGGCTGGTCCTCCTCGAGAGCAGGTCGGCGCTTACCCTGAACTCCTCCTCCAGCCCGATCTTGTCGAAGTGGGCGGTGGGGCCGTGCAGTGCCTGCAGGTGCTTCTCCAGAGAGGACACGTCTAGCTCGGTGTCCCCATAGAGGTAGTACTCCAGTAAGGCTTGGTAGATGAACGTGTACTGCATCTGCAGGGAGACCCAGACAGGCTCCAAGAGGGGGGCCTCGGAGTAGGGGGCCCTTCTCTTTGTGCAAAGGGGAGGGGGTCGGGGGGAACGTCAGATTAAGGGCTCTCTGTGGTGACCATCTGCGGCCTTGAGGAGAGCTGGGGTGATGTGGTCCCGGCCAGGCACTGCTCTGAGTGCATCTGACATGCGTCCCAGGGCATTGGGGTTTGCTGAGCCAAGCTCACATCAGCACAGACGGCTGGGACAGAGGAGGGCACGACTCACGTCCGTCTGAACCATCTGAGGCCGCTGATTGCGGATTCTGGACACGAAGTCAAAGACGTCCACTTTCTGCTCTGCGTGCATCATGTCCATCATGGCGTCGATCACTATGAAGGTGCCCGTCCGGCCCACGCCCGCGCTTGGGGAGAGAGGAAGAGGCCACGTTGTGAGTCGCCTGTCCCCAGTGCAATGATGGGACCTTGGAACACGCCTGCAGTCCGGACTGGACGACACGCCACCCTCAGCGAAGACAACCTCTTCACGGCGCAGAAACTTCCCTCCGTCAATAAAGACAAATCCAGGTGAGGCCACCGGAGGGCACCAGAATCTCAGGGACAAGATCTCAAATCTTCCCGGGTCATGTCTGACTCTCTGCAACCCCAGAGACTGTAGCCCACCAGATTCCTCTGTCCATGGCATTCTTCAGACAGGAATCCTGGAGAGGGCTGCCATTTCCTCTTTTCTCTTCCAGGGGATCTTCCCAACCCAGGGATCAAACCCATGTCTCCTGCAGGTCCTGCAATTGCAGGTGAATTGGAGACTACTAACAGGCTTACTTTGGGCTTTCCTGGTGGCTCAGATGGTACAGCGTCTGCCTACAATGCAGGAGACCCAGGTTCCATCCCTGGGTTGGGAAGATCCCCTGGAGAAGGAAATGGCAACCCACTCCAGTATTCTTGCCTGGAGAATCCCATGGACTGAGGATCCTGGTAGGCTGTAGTCCATGGGCAAAGAGGCAGACACGACTGAGCGACTTCACTCTCACTTTCACCAGGCTTTCGGAAAAGGGCCACTGTCTAAGCTTTGTGTAATCTTTCTTCTATTGCCGAGTGCCGTCTCCTCGTTATCACTTGTGCAAGTGGGTTTTTTTTTTAACTTGTCATGCTTGATGTGCTTTGCCAGGTTCTTCATAAGAAAAAAGGCCCCCAGGCCAGGTCTGTTGGCCCTGGAGCCAAGGTCATGTAAATGGGGGCCCCAGCTGGCTCTGTCTAGGACCCCGGCCCCGAACCCTGGGCTGGCTGGGGCCAGCTGGTGCTCAGGGGCTCCACTGAGAGGTTTCCTTCCTCGGGAAGCTGCCGATTCCACTCCTGGGCTGGGGTTCCTTTCCCCGCAATGGCCTCCCCACAGAGGTCTCTGCACATCCTCCCCACCTCCCCCATCCCTGTCCATCTAGATCCCCTCCAAGCAATGCAGGCCATCCATATGTGTCTCCCCAACACCCAGGACTCAGCAGGTACACAAACAAACTCAGCCAACATCCACGGGATGAAAAAACCCCAAATGGTCCAGACCACAACTGCACGTAGCAGCCAAGGGTGCAGGGTCACTAGGTTGAACTGGGCTTGCCCCCAGAACCCCAACCCACTGCAACTTTAGCCTCTTTTTAAAAAAGAAAGTCATCTTTTAAATGGAAGGTTCACAACTTAAGGAATGAAGCCCCCCTACCATGTTCCTCTTTTGGGGGGGTGAGGATGGTACCACTCTTTCCAGCTAGTCTCCAAAATGGCACTAGACAGGCAGTGAAGACCTGCCCTCTTGGAGACTCCCTGCTCATCACGGGGAGGGAAGAGCGGACGAGAAACGAGGGCCTCCTTCAGGAGTCTTAGTTCTTTACAAACAAAGGAGACGGTCGTCAGGTGCGGAGCCAGGTCAAGACAGCCCACCCAACAGGTGTGTGGAAGGGGCCAGGACATAGCTGACTGCAGGCTGCAGAGGCTCCTGCCCGGGGGAGGGGGGAGCGGGGGACTTCAGCAGAGGAAGGGGCCAGGATGGTTTTACCAGGAGAAGCCCCGGGCCAGACGTTCTTCCCCTTCTGGACTCTGGATGCTGGAGTGGAGCTCAGAGCTGCAGCGAGAGACCTCTCCCTGTGGTTTCATCAGGGACCCAGTGGCAGTTCTTTTAAGGGATTGAGGGGTTGCTGAGGGTGAAGAGTGAGTGCCAGAGCACAGAAGGGAATGGCTAAGCCCCCAGCCCCAGGCAGTACACCCTCTGGAGCCCAAGGAGACCCAAGCGAAGGTACATTTGGAGGGATGAGGCTGTCAAGTCCGCTGCATCCTGAGGACCGGGGTCTGCCAGCCCATGGGAGCCTCTTCTGGGATGCTGGGGGGCTCTGGCAGGCTTGAACTCCTGGCGGGAGCCTCTGCTCCCAGGCCTTACCTGGACCACCCATCTGCCCGCATGGGACTCAGCTCGACGGGGATGCAGAGACCAGAGAGAAGTGCATCCCTTCCCCACAGGCAAAGCAGAACAGAGAAGTCAGGAGCTGCGGTAGCAGCATTGAATTAACACACTCCCCTGGGAAGAGAACTTCTGTGCCATGGCAGAGGCCGGGATTCTCGGCCATAGACGGAGGCAGAGAGTGGAAATCAAGATGAAGGGCAAATGACCTGCCCCAGCACCATGGCGAGGGGGGAGGCGGGCAGGGGAGGAGCCAGGCACTGAGGTTCCACTAGCACCAGGGAATCTGGAGGCATCAGAACAAAACAGAGCTGAACCGCTCCCTGCAGCCAGCCCTGACCCCACTCAGAGGCGGCTCCTTCATCCCCCACCGTCTGGAGCCCAGCTGGCTGACTGTCAGCTGATGGGAACAGGAGTGTGCCTGCCTGCCTGCCGCAGGCCTTTCAAACTCTCCGCCCTGAGGATGCACTGCTGACCGGTGTCCCCTCTAGCTGGGGCCACCGCGGGCCCGTGCCTCGGAGGGACTTCCCTGCGCAGGAACTCAGGCCGGTAGCCCTGCCCGCCCGGCTAGAGGACGGACGGTCCTGCTCACCGGGTGTCACTCTCCACTGGACACAGGCGGGGTCATTCCGAGTATCACGGCCCAGCCGGGGACAAGAGGCGCCTGCCCCCCAGGGACACAGGGGCTCTGAATCTGCCACACAGGTGTTCAGCGGAAGCAATGCACCAACTCTGGCTTTCAGGAAGTCTGAGCAAGAAGTGGGGGGCTGCCCCCTTGAGAGGGCCAGGCCGGGCTGGACCATGCCCCAGACTCTCCAAAGCCAGTGGCTCAGAGGTGTGTGCAGTGCTGGGTCACAAGGCGCTTGTCTGCTTTCGATACTAAGGTTCCCCAACAGGTGGTACTGATGAAGGGCTCTGGCCCCCGGGATGGAGAGCATCCCTCCAGCTCTTGCCCTGAGGGATTTTCTGAGCTGCATCCAGTATCCGGGAGGTACTTTCAGGTCACCCCAGCCGCCCCTCTGCCCACCCTGATGTCCACCCACTGGTCATTTTCCCATTGGAGGCTGGATCCTTCTTGGAGACCACCCAGCCGCGCCCGGCACGCACCTGCAGTGGACCACGATGGGCCCAGCGTGCGCGGGGTTGAGCGTCCTCACTTTCTTCAGGAACTTGAGCATGCCGATGGGGGTGAAAGGCACCCCGAAGTCGGGCCAGCTGGTGAAGTGTAGCTGGCAGACCAGCCGAGGCGCTTTGCAGCCGTCGGGGAGCTGCTGTGGGGAACGCGGAGACGTGAGCAGGAGGGACAGCCCCGTCCCCCTCCCCACCCGCAGCATCACGGCTCCAGGTCCCCCTCTGCCGTCCAGGCGTGAGCAGCCGTGGGGACCCGTGCAGAGAGGGGCCCATGAGTGAAAACTGCATGCCCAGGAGTGAGACCCTAGTGGTTACTGGACACCATAGCAGCGGGAGCAGCAGAGCAGGACCCACGGTCACCCGGGCCAGGACCAGCCAGGCAATGCCCTGCAGCCGGCCCGAGGGCTCACGGGCCCGTCAGCCAGCAGGCTGGCTGAGTCCCAGTTGGCCGCGACTTTATGTTGCCGTGTAACTGCCAACAGCATGAGCTTTCACTCTCAAAAGCGGCTTGATTTGTGGGGAAAACATATGGTTGGTCTACCCTTGGAAGACCCCACCCCACCCCAACCCTTCCCTCGAAACCGGTCTCCTCTCTTCTTACCCAGAACCGAGGAGTTTGGTTCTCTGCCCCAAGCCATGGAAAGCTATATAGTGTGTTTGGAAGCGTGTGGGCATGTGCGTGCGTGTGTGTACGTGTGTGTTTCTGGGAGGAGGTAGGCCAAAGTCGGGGACAGTAATATGATAAAGTTCATCCTCTCTCCTCTTTTGCTGTGGCTTCTAGGAAGCTCAGACTCATATTCTGCGATCTAACCACACCCATTACTCTACCTTTGATTCTTGGTAACACCACCTTCCGCTTTTTTCTAATTTTTTTTTAAGTCTCTGAAATGTCTTATTTCATCTGCCTCGCCTACAGGTGTCTTTATTGAAGACTGCCTTAAATCATCTCGGGGGAGGAGTGACTAGCAGGAAAACAGTTTGAAAAATAATGAAATGTTTCAGATATAATTTTGAAACTGTAAAAAAAAAGAAAAAGAAAAACCTCACTTCTCCATGCCAGCGTGTGAAACGGCCCTGTGTAACTGACTGGGGGACCCCTTCCCACCACCCCCAGGATGCTCCGACTGACTCAACTTCCCCCACCCAGGTGGTCTCTGGGAGCTAGGAGTATCGACCCAGACTCAAGGTCACGTGCACCTGCCTGTCAGCTGCCCCGCAGACTCAGATCTGTGGCCCACAAGGGGCCGTCCCGCCTCCCTGCCCGGCACTGCCTGCAGCCTCGTCTCCGCTTGTGAGGGCTGCTGGGGCAGCGGGTATCGGGATGAGGCACGTGCTTCCTGTGCTAAAACACGCACGTGCGTGTCCCCTCGCAAGCCTGCCTCCGCAGGAAGCCGCGCGCTTACAGACTGAACGCAGAACTTCCGGACGGTATAGTCCACCAGCACCACGCAGTCCTCCACACACACCCGGACGTTCCCGTAGGTCCAGCACCCCTGGTCCGGCCAGTACTGATGGCACTTCTCCTGCGTGGGGCAAGAAGACAGAAACAGGAGGTCTGTGGGGGGCCTTCATCACCTCGCCGCCCCCCGCCGCGGCCACGGACACAGGCCTCGCACACCGCCGGCTCCAGGGACACAGCCCTCAGAGGCCGTGACGGCGTGCCTCCGTCTCGTCCACGCTGGTTAACGGCCGGACTGAGACCGGCGTCGGGCCCCTCTGACGCCTCGGTTCCTCATCCCCTTACTAACCACACGTACTGCCTGGACCGTCGGGCTGAGCTGCTCTACAGAGCCGGGGACCCACGTGGACGCGGCCTCACCTGGGTGGTGCTTCGTCAAGCCCCAGAGGACAAACGTGCTCCCCAAACACTGCCCATCGGATTCGGTGGGTCATTATTCGAACTTAATTTGCATCCCACCCACCCTCTGTGGAAGAGTCGTGGACTTGCTGTCAGCTGAACACTCCTGACTTTTCTCCAAGGATAAGACGGATGCATGAATTTGTAGAGCTGGATGGGTAGGTGGTCACAGAGAGGTCTTCCTTTGCTTTGCCTCCCCCAGAACTACAAATGGACCACACATGAGAGGATGGGGACTGGTCCTCCAGTTCCTGACCCCAGGGCATCCTCCTGCAAGGAGGGCCTGAAGGTGTGAGGTCCCCCTAGTGGGGGGACCCCTGCTCCACGGCCGCAGGGGTCAGCGAGCCATTGGCCCTGGACACTACCCACTGGACAGAGCTCACAGGCCGGGCCATGAGGACTAATCATCCTATAAAATAGGAGTCAGCTGGTATTTACGAGAGCCCAGTGCTCATGTGATGACATCCACCAGCCAACTTCCCCTCCCATGGCCTGGCCCTGGACAGCTCTGAAGGGACCCCGTGGAGAAGCCCACCCTGAAGGTCATGGTTTGGGGCAGTCTTGGCCTCCCGGGGGCCCTCCAGAGACTCCCGCCTTGACAGACTCTCATGCGAGGACCCGAGGGCTGCTTCTCACACCCCCACAGGGCTCAGCGTGTGTTCTGTTTCACGCCCTTGGCACCCCCATCTACACAGTGGTCACCACTGCCTGCCACCCCCCACCCCGCTCCGCCCCGATCAGATCATGAGATACCAACTTTCACAACACTGAGCCAGGATGCTGAAGGCAAGGAGACCACAACAGAAGTGTAAGCAATTAAGAAAAGGGGAACACTCTATTGAGAAACGAGTTCATCTGAGACACTGAAAATCGAGGCCCGAAGGCAGGCTGAATCTGAGTCACGGAGATGGAAAAATGCAGAAGGAGGCTGCAGAGAAAGAGCCGGGGGCGCCTTCTGAGCCCCACCGTCCCTGCACTGGGCTCCTCTGTCTCCTGTTTGCAACAAGCCCCGGAAAGCCTGGCCCAGAAATCAGCTGGTCCCAGGGGACGCCAGGCTCCAGGTCAGCCTCCTCGTCCGGGGCCTGTGTGGCCGCAGCATCCGCTCAGAGCGCGGGGACACCTCCCCCACAGCGCCCCTGCTACCCTCCCCCCGCCGGGGCGTGTCCCTAGCTGGGAACCCCCAGCTTCTGCCCATCACTCTTTCCAGTGAGAGAGCACGGGGCCTGGGCAGCACTCACACGGAGGAGGAGGAGGCTGGCCTCCCCAGCCCTGTCCCAGCTCCCGTGGAAACAAAAGAAAACCTCTCTCCACTCCCCGAGCGGAAACGGGGTGGGGCTGGAGGCTTTTCCGTTGCTTTTCTGGGTGGAATAAATTAGTGGTTGGGGAGGGGAGCTGAGGGCCACCTCGTGGCTGCCCTCCCTGCCGGCCGGCCTCCCCTCTCCTGCCCCGGCTAAGTTCCCCAAGGTCTGTCACTTTCATCCCGAAGGGCAGCCCCTGGACCCCTTTACCCCGAGCCCTAGCCAAGTGGCCTGGGCTTCCCTGAGGACGGGCTGGCCAGCCCCCGGCCAGTGAGTGACGATGGAGGTCACCTAGGTCCAGCTGCAGCCAGGAGCACACAGGCCCCGGGACAGACGTCACCTGCCAAGCTGGGTCTCCCTCTTGACCCGCTTGCCACCACCCCTGTTCGGGCCCTCGCGCTGGAATATGCTGCTAGCGTCCCATCTGCCTCCCTGTTCTGCTTTCAACTCTGGAGCATGAGCTCACTTCTGAAAGCACAGGCCCCTGCTTACTGCCGGGAAAGCCCTTGAGCGCCCATCCACGTCAGCCCGATATCCAGGCTCCAAGCCCCGGTTGCTTCCTCGATGCACTTCTAGCCGTTCTGTCCCTGGCGTGGGCATCCTGGTTCTGGGTCCAGCAGATTGCGCCCTGCCTCACAAACACGCCCCAGCGCGTCCCTCCTGCTTGCGTCTGGCATAGCTCCCCCCACCCCACACCCCAGTCTCTAAGACCCAGCAGCACCATCATCCTCTACACAAGCCCTCCCACCTGGCTGTCCCCCTCTCCACCACACCCCCAGAGCCCCAGTCATGCTGTGTCCGGGTTTATTCTACAGGTGTCTCTGTCCTTTGAGTTGAAAAGTGAATGCCTCCCAGGCACAAGGATGCCTCAGCATCTCTGAGCCGGACGCGGAGCCCACCAGGGCCTCAGCCTGGCCTTGCATCTTGGTCTGTCCCTCCTGGGCCTCCACTGTCCCTGCTGTATTTTATTTTCTGTCCCCATTGTGTCTTCTGTTACCTCCTGACATGACCTACAGCCCCTCACACTGCAACAGGAATTGCAAGAGGGGTCTGCTCGGTGGCTCACTGCCTGCACCCCACCCGGGGCAGTCCTGACCAGGAGGCACACTTAGGAAATGAATCAGCTTAACTCTTAAATCTTCACAGAGATTTCAGGTCCTTATAATGTACATGCATTACTTTTTGAAGTTGAAACAGCTAACTGAACACATTTGAAATACCATTTCACATATTTCAATGGTATTGAAATCAATACAACTTCAATACACCTTGTGTTTTCCCAATGCTTTTCTCTGGTCTGAAAAATAAGGGGGAAATCACTTTTTTTTTTTTATGGTCTGAGGCCCAACATGTTATGTTCCAAGATGCTAAAAAATCTCTGTATTAAAATTAATTGCTCCCACCATGGCGTAAGAGCTGGCAGGCCACCCAGGGATAATTCTCAAAAGAAGAAAATCCCTGCATCATTTTTATATCATAGTCTAGGATGTGAGAGTTGGACTATAAAGAAAGTTGAGCACTGCAGTATTGATGCTTTTGAACTGTGGTGTTGGAGAAGACTCCTGAGAGTCCCTTAGACTGCAAGGAGATCCAACCAGTCCATCCTAAAGGAAATCAGTCCTGAATATTTATTGGAAGGACTGATGCTGAAGCTGAAACTCCAATACTTTGGCCACCTGATGTGAAGAGCTGACTCATTTGAAAAGACCCTGATGCTGGGAAAGATTGAAGGCAGGAGGAGAAGGGGACGACAGAGGATGAGATGGTTGGATGGCATCGCCGACTCAATGGGCTGAGTTTGCGTAAACTCCGGGAGTTTGTGATAGACAGGGAGGCCTGGCGTGCTGCAGTCCATGGGGTCACAAAGAGTTGGACACCACTGAGGAACTGAACTGACTGACTAAGACAGTGAGATCCTGGGAACACAGACAACGTATTTCAAAATAAAAGTGCTGTGAGCCCCGAGGTGTTTTTTTGTCTGCCGCGATAAGCAGGAGAAGGGAAAAGGAAGTGGTGAGCATACCCCCAGCCAAGCAGCAGCAGTTGAGAAGAACACGCTGGGGGCCCGAGGCTGGGCTTACCTCTTTTCTTTCTTTTAGATTCGTCAGCATGACGATGGTTGCACATTTCTGCTCCCAGATCATTCTCCAGAAGTCATTCACTGTCTCCTGTTTGGGGCCTGAGAGGAGAGGATGGTCCGTGTCAGACAGACTGGTCCCTGGAGCCCCAGGCTGGTCATGCTGGCTTTTGAGCCTCAGGACGGCTGCCCCCTCCCCACCTGCCCTGAGGAAGGGGGTGATGGGCCCGTTCACTCCCTGCAGAGACGCAGGACGGGAGAAGGGGGCAGCCTCTCTGTCTGGCCCTGCCTCTCTCTCCCTGATACCCCCCCAGGGGCTGGGAAATCCTCGGGGGCTAAGCGAATGCACCCAGTGGTTGATGATCATTGGCCACAAACACTATTAAAATGGGAGCTGGTTTGCAAGCTGCCCGTCAAAGTGGTTTGTGGCCACCGAGGGGCTTGTCGAAGCCTCAGAATAAGACCTCCCATCCCAAACCGCTGAATCAGACCGTGTGTGGGGGTGGGGGAAGGGAGAGACACTGCCGGCTGCCTGGCCCACCTGCCATATCTAACCCCCTTTCCTCTAAAAAAAAAAAAGAAAAACATCGCATCTCCCAGCTGCCCTCACAGCTACTGAGGTTGTCTGGTGAGACGTGGGCTGAAGCCCCTGGGGAGGGGATCTGAGCAAAAGATAAAGTGTCCCTGGAAGAAAGTCCTCTGCCTGTTGCTCTCTTTCCTGCCTGACGAGGGACAAGAGTGCCTGGAGGTGTGGCAGCCGTTTTGTGGCCCTGAGGACGACGCTGCGGAGGGCAGGCGGGGGATTAAAGAGGCCCTCTCCCTCATGCTGCTGCCCCGGCCTGGCGCTACTTCCTCTGGACGTCTGCTTGTAAGAATGAAAAGACATTTATTTCTACTGGTGTCAGCGAGTGTTTGCCAGGTTTTCTGACGTTTCTGACGTTAAAAGCTGGGCATGTTCCTGATGGACCGTGCGTGGGCTTATGTGTATAGCTCCCTACTTTTCAGGGCAAGTGAAAGTGCTAGTCGCTCAGTTGTGTCCAACTCCTTGCGACCCCCAGGGACTGTAGCCCACCAGGCTCCTCTGTCCATTCTCCAGACTAGAATACTGGAGAGGGTAGCCATTCTCTTCTCCAGGGGGTCGCCCTGACCCAGGGACTGAACCTGGCTCTGTAGCATTGCAGGCAGATTCTTTTATCATCTCAGACACCAGGGAAGCCCATTTTTTGTGTGTGCATTTAAATGTGCACTTAAGATTGTTATCTGCACTGAACGTTGGCACCCACCGCTCTAAAGACTCTTGCCGAGGAATGAGGACGTGCAGGAAACCTGCCTTTAGCTCCGTGACCCCCAGCTTCATCAGCCCTGGCTCCCGGGGATGACAGCCCCAAGCAGATGCTGATAAGCTGGACTGAAAGCACTTGAGAACACAGAGGGTCATGTGTGAGGTTTAAGGGCGTCCTTTCACAGGAAGCCGGAGGAGGGTATGGCAACCCATTCCGGTGTTCTTTTTTTTATTTTTATTTTTTTTTTCCCATTCTGGTATTCTTGCCTGGAGAATGCCATGGACAGGGGAGTCTGGCGGGCTACAGTTCATGGGGTCACAAAGAGTTGAACATGACTGAGTGACTAATCCACTTTCACGGCTAAAAGCACCTTCAAGCTTATGGGCTTGAACCAGAAAGTTACTTTACTCCCCTCCCTGCAGCTCTTCCAACAACTTGGAAGTCACATACAGTTCAGCCGGCCGAGAGAGAGAGAAACTCAAGATTTTCTAATGCAAGTATCAACACGCTGAGACAGCAAGCACTGGACTGTTGGGTGTCTGGGCTTAAATCACAGGCACAGACACAGATCGTGTGTCTGTCTCTCTGCACACACATGGATGTGTATGACAGATGCCCCCACACGCTCCCTGTCTGTCTGCCCTGACCACAGATGGGTGCTCTTGCACTCGTTTGAAGCCCTGTGCCCTAGAGGAATTTCATCACCTCACAGTATAATGCTCCTCAAACTCTATGGCGCAGAATGACCTGGGAATGCTGGCTAAGATGCAAACTCAGGGACAGCAGCGGTCAGGGGTGGGGCCCGCATTCCTGACCACCTCGGGGTGCTCCTGGCCCGTGGAGCAGATACGCTGAGCGGCAAGGCTGTGAGATTCGTGACACCTTTCACTTCTGCGCTTTGGGAGAGGCTGGACGACTCTGATCAGCTGTGTAAACGTAACAGTGCACACACACAAAAAGCCTGTATAACCCCCAGGATGGTTGGCATCAGGTGCGCGAGCAATCGCCTTCCCTGTCATTTTACCAAAATCACGTTCAGACCATCACTTAATAAAAAGCTTACCTTGAGCTGCTATGAATTTATTCTTCTCTTTATAACCCTAGAGAAATAAAATCAGATTTATGAGTTTTCAGAATTGTCATTGTGGAAGGACTTTATTGTTAGGAAAGTAACATGTACTTGTCGTGGAGAATTTGGAAAACCAGAAAACTAAGAAGAAACCTTGCCAGGAGTTTCAGAAATAACGCTATTTTTGTGTATCACTTGCCAGTATTTTTCTATGAATATCTTTCCAGATATGCAAGCAGACACACAGGCACAGATATATATATATATATATATATATATATATATATATATTTTAATCAGTTAATAGTTAACACATTCTCTTATACTGAACTTTTATAATAATTCATAACATATTAAACAATCTTTTAAGGCTCAACTAACAGGGATTCTTAATAATCCATTCTAAATGATTTTACTGTAAATCATTTAACTGGTCCCCTCTGTTCTGTTTGGTCACTAATATAAATGAGTATGGACTTGCCAGGTGACTCAGTGGTAAAGAATCTGCCTGCCAAGCAGGAGACCTGGATTCGATCCCTGGAGCAGGAAATGGCAACCCACTCCAGTATTCTTGCCTGGAGAATCCATGGACAGAGGAGCCTGGTGGGCTACAGTCCACGGGGTCACAAAGGGTGGGACACGACTGAACGACCAAGCCTCAGCAGCAAAAAGAAGCCTCCCGTGGGCTTCTCTGCAACTTAGGAACGAGTTCCCGGCACAGACGCTGATTCAGAAGGCCCAGCGCCTTCACGCCCTCTGTGTAGTGGCCGCTGTGGCCCCCGTGTCCAGGAAAGTGGGGACGAGTTACCTTCCTGGCCCCAGGAAGAAGGGGTCCAGGGGTCACCATCCACACTCAACCCCCAGTGGTCCAGGTGTGAGTGCTGTGCTGGGTTCGGGGGTACTTACATCTATGTAGGAAGCATTGATGTAGTCTGAACATGGGGTTCCATCCACTTGGCTTAAAATCACCCTGGAATGGTCATCTGCAGAAAGAAACAACACAAAAAACGTGCCATTAGGCCTGGGAATCACACGGACAGGATTAAACACTGTGAAGGACGTAACCGTGGCGACCGCGGGACAGAAGGGAAGCTCTTCTTAAACGTTCCCAGGAGACGCTGGGTGTCCGGGGGGCAGGGACGCACCTGCTCCATCCAGCACGGGACCCCCGCACCCAGGCCAGGCCCGGCCCCAGAAGGAGCAGAACACACCCGGGGCCCGATGACAGCAAAGAACTTCAGGGCCCAGGAGTCGGTGCGCCGGCCCTCAGGAGCACTTCCGGGGGGCCTCGCTCCCAGGCTTTCAAAGGGGAGCCTGTCCGCCTCTGGACAGGGGGGCGTCAGGCCTGAGGGCTTGGGAATCCGGGCCCCAGGGCTCGGGACTCCGGGCCCCAGAGCTCATGCTCAGGTCTGCCGCGGAGCAGGCAGGCACCTGGACTCACATGGATGGACTGTGCAGGACGGGCCACTGCCTGGGTCATTCCGGCCTGTGGTTCCAGCAGTTTTCCAGCGTGCGAGGGCCGACCAGGCAGGGCTGTGTGTGTGTGTGAGTGTGGGTGTGTGTGTGAGTGTGTGATGTGTGTGTGAGAGTGGTGTGTGTATGTACGTGTGTGAGTGGTGTGTGTGTGAGAGTGGTGTGTGTATGTACGTGTGTGAGTGTGGGGTGTGTGTGTGTGTGTGATGTGTGACTGGTGTGTGTATATGTGGTGTGTGTGTGAGTGTGTGAGTGTGTGACTGTGGCATGTCTGTGTGTGTGTGTGGTGTGTGTGTGTGTGATGTGAATGTGTGTGTGTGTGTGAGTGGTGTCTGTGTGTGTGTGATGTGTGAGTGGTGTGTGTGTGTGTGTGATGTGAATGTGTGTGTGTGTGAGTGGTGTGTGTGTGTGTGGTGTGTATGTGTATTTGTGGGGTGTGCAGTGGTGTGTCTTGTATGCAATGTGTGTAGTTGTGTGTTGTATGTACGTCAGTATGGTGTGTATGTTTGTGGTATGTATGTATACATACACGTGGGGAGGTTTTAACCAGGCCCCATATGACTTACATGGGTGCATGTCACTTTGCCTTCACAGGCCCCTTTCTCCATTAAAGAAAAACATTACACATTATTCTATTTTATGCCTGCATTGCATGCATGCATGCTGAGTCACTTCAGTCCTGTCTGACTCTGTGACGTCAGCCTGACTCTGAGCCCACCAGGCTCCTCTGTCCAAGGGGTTCTCCAGGCAAGATTACTGGAGTGGGTTGCCATTTCCTTCTCCAGGAGATCTTCCCAACTCAGGGATCGAACCTGAGTCGCTTACGTCTCCTGCATTAGTAGTAGCTATAAGGATAAGTATGAGCCAGACTGGGTTAGGTATATATTTTCTTCTGATTCTCAAAGAAGTTAGACCAATTCATGGGTTCCCGCAGGTGGAGCAGCTCCAGCTCTGGGTCTCCACACTGGTGTGTAAGTGGCTGACCACTTACAGGAGTAGAAACGTATGAAGGATGCCCAGACCTGGGCCCAGGGCTCTAGGATCAAGCTGCTTCCGGGTTATTATTCTGTGCCGGGCAGTACACGGAGGGTACTCTGTACGTATTTACTGCATTAATTATTGGATAGTTCTGTGTCCTGATCCCTGCTTTATCCCCAAGTAGCCAGAGGACTGAAACTAATCGAGGAAGGGGTGTGTGTGTGTGTGTGTGTGTGTCTGTGTGTGGTGTGGGTCTGGGGCAAAATCCTGGGTCACAGACCAGATGTCTCTCCTCTACACAGAGGGCTGCTGGCTTGACCACAAGTGGATGGGCTCGGACACCTGCTGTCTGGACACCATATCCTGCTCCTAGCGGAGGACAGGTCAGCGCAGGCCTGGGGCAGTCACGGCCCGCAGAAGGCGGTCAGGGTGTCAGACCCCAAAGTCACAGTCCGCAAAGGCTCGGCCCTGAGACCCTCAGCCCTGAGGCAGAAATAGCACCGGTGGAACACGTATCAAGCTAGTTAAACATGATTTGGAACAATTTACCCTTCTGAGGACAGCTATAGAAAGCAGGGGTTAAAAATAGCCTTCTGGTTAGATTTAGCTCTTGCAGTTCTAAGAGCTTCCTGTCTTTTCATTCTAAAAAGTCACACTTCTCTCTCAACACATCATTTCCTAAACTTATCCCTGGTTGGCGTCTTTTTCCAGAAAAGAGGAAGACGCTCGCTCGCTACCGGCCGTGGGGCCCTTCCCACACCCTCGATACCCAGGCGCCCTGACCTCTGTCCTCAGAGCTGCCAGGGTTCACAGCAGGACCGCTCCTGCCCCAGGGGCATCTTGTAAATAGGATGCACTTACAGGGCTCCCAGGTGGCGCCCGTGGTGAAGAATCCACCTGCCAATGCAGGAGACTCAGGAGAGGGGGGCTGGATCGCTCAGTCCAGAAGACCCCCTGGGGAAGGCGATGGCAAGCCACTGCAGTATTCTTGCCTGAGAAAAACCCCAGGCCCGCAGGATCCTGGCGGGTGCAGCCCAGGGAGCTGGAGGCGCCTGAGGGGCCACAGTCCCCCTTTCTTTCTCTGCGTGGGGAAGGGGGCGGGGAAGGGAAGGTACACGGGCCTGAGGGGCTTGGGCCCCTGACGTCTGTCTGCCTGGTGACCCGACCCCACCCCGAGTACGAGTAGGGTCTCCCAGGCTTGGGGTTGGGGGAGCAGGCCTGGGAGCCCCCTGCACAATCCTCCCGTGATCCAACTGCCCCAGGGCACCTCTGGTCAACCACCCAGATAAACCAGATTGGCTTCTGGGTCTCACTGATGCCAAAGCCAGATGCCCCCACCTGGCCTCCTCCAGGGCACACCCCAGTGCTTCTAGGACATGGTTCCGTAAATGTGTCCTTGCACCAATGCTTACATCGGACAGGGTCCCCGGGCCCGTGGTGACCACCAGCACCTCAATTTCCTCTGGCCTGGCACTCCTGGGCCGGGAGGGGCTGGGGCAGGACCCACACTTTCACACTTGCAGAGAATGCCAGCTCCCTTCCGTAGTACAAGCTAGAGGATGCGGCTTAGACATGACGGGCATGAAGCAGGCCCTGCTGGGCCCCACTGGCGACCCTTGGGGGGCAGGCTTTGCCCCACCCCGGGCCACCAGAGGTAATTCCCACACCTGGCTGCTAACTCTGCTCCATGGAGCTCAGGCTGAAAGCACTCTTGATCAGCCACGCAAATGTTCCCTTTAGAAAGTAAAGGGTTCAGTGATTAGGAGAGAAACGTAGGCCAGGAACCTCGGAAAGGGCTTGGCAGTGAACAGGTCCTCCACACACGTCATGCAGTCAACGCGCAAACTAAATTAGTTAATTCAACTGAGAACAGATGCTAACTTCCAAATACCCTAATTTTCATTCAGCGCAAATTATGCCAAAGATCCCCAGCATGGCATTTCTTTCCCTTGAGCTGTTCAAGCTACAGAACTTGCCTCTGATAAGCCTCACCCAATTTAACAGCAAGTCCTCTCAGCGTGACCTTTGCCCTGAGTCTAGAACCTGACCCTGGTCTCAGCCACCCTCTCCGCTTGGCCGCGTGACCTGCCATCTCCCTGCTGCTCCCTTGGCTTCCTCTACAAATATGCGTGGCGTAGAAGACACCTTGGTTAATTTCTCTGGCTTTAGTTGACCCAAGCTCACGGTGGACTCTACACACGCACATACACACACAAACCCAAACCAAAAGCACAAATAAATCCTATGCATCCAAAATGGGAATGAATTGCTTCTATCAGGTGCTGAAAATCCAGAGACCACATAGATCAGGTGGGCCACAGCTTCTCTTACCCACAGGGCAGATGGACTCGATTCTGATCCTAAAAATTCAGCTAAGAGCCACCCCACTGAGGGCCAGCACAGGCTAGCTTGCTCCAACCCCACAGAGGCTCTGCCCGAGAAGGGAGGTCCCCCCTTTGTCGGGCCTCCAATGTGAACTCACTGGGGTCTTCAGAGGCTGCCCTTCTGCTAGCCCGATGGCGAAGCGGTCAGGTGGGTCCAGGCTGGAGAAATGACGTCACAACCCCCCACCCCGCCAGGCCAGCTTCTAAAGAGGCAGCTTGGAACTCTGGGGTTCTGTCTTGGCACCGAGGCCCCCCAAGGCCCAGCCCATCCAGCAATGCCCCTAGACAGGTGTGTCCACTCTCTGGCTCCGCCAACCCCTGGAGGCCACACCCCTGACCCACGACCCCCATCAGCTGCGGTGGTAAAGACTGGGATGCTTCCAGGCCTTCCCACAGAGCTGCCAGAGCCCAACAGCTCTCTGAGCTCCTGTCACTTCTGTCCTTGTACAGGAGCCCTGACTCTGGTGGCCCAGGGCACTGTGCCCAAGATGGGGAGATGCTCGGGACCCCTGGCTGCCCGACACCAGGGCTCAAGGCTGGGTCCACAGCAGGAGCCCTGCCAGCCGGGGCAGGTGGCATCCTCCCGCCCCCATCCCCTCCCCCGCAGGCAGCCCAGGTCTCAATAGTGAACACAGGCTTGGCAGCCAGACCACGAACGACTCAGGCTCTCAGAGCCCCAGGTGGGAGACAGATACCTAGACCTCCACGCGCGAAGGCTGAGCAGGTGTCCCGACCCGGGCCCTGGCCTCTGAGTACCTGGGCATCTGCTGCCTGGACAGGCAGAATCACCAGGAGCTGTAAAGCAAGGCTGAGAGTCGTCAGAATGCCAACGATCATGCAAAAAAAAAAAAAAAAAGAGTAAAATCTTACTGGGAAGGATGTTGGGGTATCGGTTTTTTTCTCTGTTTTCTTCTTTATTGGCCAGTTCAAAAGTTCCTTGCACGTGTCCAGACGGCAGAGACTAGAAGAAAATGCAGAGTCAGCACTAAATGTGAGGAATCCAGCCCTTCATCTACGCAGCCTCCCTACCAAGTGCGGGAATCAAGAAAACGGGTCTCTGAGCAAACTACCTCCCGCACGTTGCCCGTCCCTCTGCCCCTGCCCAGAGCAGCCTCTGCCTTGGGCACTGGGCCGGCCCTGCGCGGGGCCGTGATGGAGACACAGGATCACCTTCCCTGAGGACTCCTGTCCAATGGGCCGACGGGGATGCGGACAAAGTGATGACCCGTAGCTGAACCCTGAGCTGCATACAGGCCACCACTGGGCCCTGCATGGCCAACAAACCCCCGGGACCCAGAAGCCCTGGTCCAGAGCAGGCCCAGCTCAGGGAGGTAGGAGGCGGCCGTGGCAGAGCTCTGATCCAGGGTTGAGGACACAGACGCTGGGGCTGAAGGATGAGGGGGGTGATGGTGAAGGACCGTCCTCCCCTAAAGATGCGGCGTGGACCAGCGGGACAGACACCGCTGCGGGCTCCTTGAAAATGCAGACCTGGGCCCACCCCCCATCAGCATCGCAGTTACCCACATCCCAGGGGGCCTGCACGCTCTGCCCTAACCCCCCTTTAGTCTTGAGGGGAAATCGGATCAGGGGCTCAGCTAGGGCCCTACGGCTGATGGGCAGCATAGCAGGGATGAGCCTGGCATCCTGACTTCTAGTTCTTTCCACCACTCAGAGTGCCTCGGCTCTTGTTGGAGCCAAAGCTCCCACAGTTGCTCGCTGCTGGGGAGGGTCCATGCTCAGCATCGGGGGTCGGCGGTGCTCTTCCAAGAGCACAGTGGGAAAGTGCCTTCTGAACCTCCTTCATCATCCAACCTGACCATTGGGTGAACCAGGGGCCACTGGGACTCGAGTAAGTAGTGTTAAGCTCTTTCGAGTATTTTCGATGGGCCGGGCACTGGGGAAGGGCCGAGTCACCGGCCTTTACCACTCACCCAGCACCAGCTGATACGAGGGCCACCGCTCCTGCTCTGCAGATGCGGAAACAGAAGCCCAGGGTGGTTGCGGAACTGCCCAGAGTCACCTGGCTGGCAAGCAGCAGGCAGTGGGGGGCCGGGGGGGGCTTGGAGCTGGCGCCTGGACCACGAGGAGGACACTATCTCCCCTGAAGTGTGGGGACAAGCAGGGGCTTCCAGGGTCTGGTGGTCCATGCCCAGGAGACTGGGGCCCAGCCTGGGGTCAAAGTCCTGAGTCGGGGCCCCCTTCTCCCAGGGCGCGGGGTTTCTCTATCACAGACTCAGCCCCTGCCAGCCCGTGCCGTCTCCCTGCTCCACGCCCAGTGGCCGCAGGCAGAGGCTCTGTGCAGGTCGGTGTGGAGGCCAGCCCAGTGGGCGCCTGGGCAGGGCCGGTGGGCAGGGTCTCCGCCAGGCCAGGACTTCCACGGCCGCGGAGAGCTCTTGGCTCCGCATCAAAGCTCTTAACACTGAGCTTCCTGACCAAACCTCAACACGAAATGTGTGACCACGTTCCAGAGCCTTCTCTTTTTCACCTCAAAGCTATTTTTGACCCCAGCCCTGAAAAGAAAAGAGGCATGAGACCATCTTGGCAGGGTGGCAGGGGGTGGGGGGGCGGCGCGTGATGTGATGGGTTAGTTAAAACCCATAGAATGCGCAGCTCTGGAACCCTGATTTGACCTTTATCTGTGATCATGAGTCGATATTGATTCATCAGTTGTGACAAATGTAACACACTCGGGCAAGATGTCAATCATTGGGGAAACTGCAAGGAAAGAATGAATGTATGGGAACTTGGTACTTCCTGCACAATTTTTCTGTAAACCTAAATATGTTCTAAGAATGCTCTATTACAGTTAATTAAAAAAAAAAAAAAAGATGAAGCCTCCCTTTTCCTCGGAAGGTGAGGGGAGTGCAGGGTGGGGCTGAAGGACTGGCTTGGAGACGTCCAAGTGGTGAGGATGAACGGCTCTGACACCCCCAGCCATGACCCAAGCACAGAGCTGGGACACGGGGTGACGTTCCGACTCCATGGGCAGGCGGCACAGGGGGCCACACGGGCACCAGAGGCAAAGCGCCCTGGGCCCCGTACCCCGTTTCCAAGCACATGGAAAGAGCAGGCCCGCGTTTCTCCTGCTGTCAGCCACCCGGGAAATCATGTCTCTGAGCTCTGATGGCTCAGGACAAATAACAGAGGTTCCTGGGGGAGGGGGTGAGGCTCTGCTATTCCTGGGCCACTGCCATTGTGCCCAGAGAGAGTGCCATGCCCGTGGCCCTGACGGATAAATAACTTGTATCGATTGTCCTGTTATGTACGTTGGTTGAAAAGGGTTGTGGGTTTGTTTGAGGTGAGGTTTCATAGTAGCTCAGTTGGTAGAAAAATCCGCCTGCAATGCAGGAGACCCAGGTTCGATCCCTGGGTCGGGAAGGTCTCCTGGAGAAGGGAATGGCAACCCACTCCAGTATTCTGGCCTGGAGAATCCCATGGACAGAGGATCTGCCGGGCTACAGTCCGTGAGGTCACAAAGAGTCAGACACGACTGTACCACTAACTTTCCTTTCCTTTCTTTCATCTCAAGGAACGTGCATGTCGCACACAGAGACACGCACACATTCCTTTCCCTCGTCCTGGAGTGCACTGTGCCGGGCCCTCCCTTCGGGCGTCTCCCTGGGCCTTCCTGCAGCATTTAGGGTTAGGTCAATTCCAGGCACTGGGATTGGAATAACCCGCAGGGGAGGGACAGAGGCTCCTGGGAGGAGCTATCTGGAGAAGGACTCCTGCAGGACTCAACCACGGGCCTGGAACAGCCTTTGTGAGCTCAGCATTCTACCACGGTGAGCGGACGCCCAACTGGACCATCACAGAAGTCGTCCTGAGCAGGATGGCACTTAGCCTCCGCTCCTGCAGACACGGGACACAGGCCTTAGCTCTTTCGCGGGCTGAGACACTCCTGCGGGGGCTGGGATGGCCTCGTTTCACAGACAAGGAGACCGAGGCAGAGGCACAGCACGTTGCCCAAGCCCTCCAGGCTGGCGGGGAGCAGACCCGGGCCAGGCACGTGGGCAACCGGCCTCCTGCGTCGGCGCCTCCGTCACCCCACCAAATGAATCCCAGCGCCAGGTCCTTGTTAATTTCAAATTCATGTCAGCTTGGCTTGGCTAAGACGCACGAGTCCAAACTCCTCTGGATCGACTACTCTGGGACCCATCCGTCTCCCTGCATAGATTCTGGGCGGGGAGCTCAGGACAGAGGGCGAGAACAGGAACAAAAAGAGAAGTGTGGGCCCGCAGCAAGCGTGGGCCCCTCCGGAGCCACGTGTGGGCTGGTCATGGTGGTCACGATGCTCTTAGCAGGGGCTGCCCACTCACTTGAGAGGAGCGGACTGGGGTCCAGAGCGGGGCGGGCCGTCGCTCAGGGTGCCCCGGAGCCAGGACCAGACTGCACGTCCTCGCTGGACTCCGACCTCTTGACCCTCGCTCTTGGCCCTTCTCTGAGCGGAGGCAGTGGGCAGGGGGTGGCCGGGAAGGCCACTTAGTGGCAGCGGGCGGGTGAGCAGAGCAAGGAGCTTGCTTTGGTTGCAAAACGGAAAGGAGTATTCTAAAACACCCAGGGGTTAAGAAAAATCACATTTGATTTCAACATCTAAAAAGCCCCTAAATCAACACACACACACACACACACACACACAAATCCATGATGACCAAAATGTCAAACTTTTCAATAAAGGCAGGGTCAGTTAACAGTGGGGTCATAAGCCCTGACGGAGCCTGGGTCACAAGAGACACCAGAAGGACCCTGTCTTTATTTACAATTATTAATTGCTATTTTGTTCGACATGTATGGCTTGGATCTATTTTTTAAAGCTGTATGAAAATAGTATTTATCCAGATGATGAGATGTTTTGGCGTCCCCTAACACACTGCGTCTGGGGCAAGTGCCTTACCTGCCTGACCCTCTTCTCGGGCCCTAACTTCTGAGATTTGTGGCTCAGCCGGTGAGTTCTGACTCAGCCCTCCCTCAGCAAGGCCAGTCACCAGCCTCCACGTGGAGAAACACAAATACCAGAGGAAACGGGACGAGAAAGAAGGTGGGGAAGCGGTCCTGCAGCCGCCAACTTGGATAGTCATTTTGAAAACTGGAGAATTAACTTCTGCTGTCAGGCTGAGAGGCTGCAAAACAATACTGCCTGGAGCTGTCTTTCACTGTGACCTAATTTCCCCCAAAAGGGACACATTTGGAAACAATTAAAAGGAAGCATGATAAAAGCAAAAGAGGACTTGTGTCAAAAAATAAGTCAAAAATACGGTCTAAATGTGCCATCAGCCTGCTGTTCCTTCCAGGGCTGCTTCTGGGTGAAAAGTCACTTGTCTGCAGCCGGAGTCACCCTACCTTCAGAGACCACAGTTGTACCATCTTTGCTTTTCACAAAGTCTGAGCCTCACATTTGACCTGCGAGGTTGTGAAAGCATCTTCCCACCCGGCTCGTTCAAGATGAAAGAAACTGGCTTTCAGGAGACAACTGACGTGTTGGGGCAGGGGTGGCACAGTCAGGGTCAGGACCAGGCGGCCCTCCTGCTGGAAAGCCGCCCTCTTTCAGCTCGACACCAGCACACGGACATTTACGAAATGAGGAAGATGCATAAACGGAGACTCAAAACACGATCAGGGATAAACACTGAGCAGCCAAATCCGAGACAACCTTTCCCAGTGTCTGTCTGCTTGTGCATCCAAGCATCTATCCGTCCATCTGTCCATCCATCCCTCTGTTGTTATCTATATGTCTATCTACCTATCCACCTAACTGTCTATCCACCTACCTACCTATCTATCTCTCTACCTGTCTCTCTCTACCTATCTCCCTATCTGTCCACCTATCTATCTATCTAGCAGCTTCACAATTCATGGGACCTTAAGTATTAGTAACTCAAGGGGATGTGTCATTATTGTACACTTGTATTTTTGTTGAGAGTTAGGAGGATCTGTTTGCTATCAGCAGGCTGGACCAGTTGGTTAAAATTCATCTTAGTTAGCTTTGCCATTGTCAAGTTCATCCAAAACAGCGGAAGCAGGACCAACACCCTGACTAGGGCAGAATCAAAGGGCTGTGGAGGCAGAGAGATGTCCCCTCACGACCGCCCCCTAGACCATCTAACTGAGGTTGTGTAGGGTGGTCTGAGGGTTCCTTTGCTCTCAGCATCAAATTATCCCACGGTCTGCTCGCCCTGGTTATGCACATCATTGGGGTAATGGTGCTACCTTCTTACTTGATTCAGAACTCAGTGCTCAGGGTGTGTGACTTGGAAAGAGGCTCTGAAGCTCCCCCTCAACCATCTCATCTTATCAATGGGGATGAGAGTCAGCGGAGGGCATCGCGGCAGGAACCGGGTTTCCTCGGAACCCCGTTTTGGGGGCTGCGTCATGGCAGATGTGAGCGTTCTGCACCTTTGGGGTAATTTATCATGTAACACAACACCCCACATCCCAGCACCCTTCCACACGACGAGACAGAGGGCCCAGACTCACGTTGAACTCCTCCCGAAACCGCTTGCAGTCGTCCGCCGAGCGGGCACGGATCTCGTCCTCCAGGTGCGCCACGGGGATGGGGAAGAACTTCTTCGGCCCCGACGGGGACCTGCTGAGAAGCATCACCCTCTGCTGCTCTGTAGGGTCAACAGAAACACAGGGCCGCTGAGCCGTGCTCCCAGATGGGCGGGTGACTTACTGACCAGACGGACGGACAGCCTCCTGGAGGAATGACACAGCTGGAGGGGGGTGTTCCCCTCAGACCATGAGCAGCGGAAGGCAAACTCTGTCTCCTACAATATACCCTCATCACTCTTCGTGATGGCTGGACAGACCCCTCTGGCTGGTGTTACCTGCTCTTGCCAACCAGAGATGCCCCATCCTCCCAGCTCACGCGCCCACCCACCCACCTGTCCTTCCGTCTGTCCCCTGTTCCTCCTACGAAGGACTTAGGCACCTTCACACTCCAGGCTTGGAACAGAGTTGAGTAACGACAGGTTTCTGGGCACAAACTGGTAACACATTGGGACACTGTCCAGTTAGGAGACCGCGTTAGCTTTGTCTTTGTAACAGATAGTCCTGGTTAACAAAGGTAACAACAGTAACCTTCGCAGCAGTTACTCAAATCCCATCAGCTCCAGGAGAAATAAGAGATAGCATCCTTGGGTTTTTGAGGGGGAGAGATCGAAAAGGAGAAGGGCCAGACTGCAAGGGGGCCCCCAGACAAGCTGCTTCCACAAACTCAGAGGAGACAGACAGCGACTCCCGGGGGCATGTGCTTCCCATCCTGGGGAACGAGCCGCTGTCCTCCACGAGGCCACATCTCTCCGCAGTCACAGGCGGCAGGGCCGGTCCCCACCCGCAGAGCTGTTCCGACGCCCCAGGGCTCACCCCTCCCGGAGACGGACACTCCAGGATGAGCCAGGCGGCCTCGCCAGCTTCACCCTCCTCGCCCCATCCGGGCTGTTGGGACGGGCGTGGCAGGAGCAGGAGGCAGGAAGGAGGGCTGGAGGCCACGTGTCATCATCTAAGCAGGGTCGCGGGTCCCCCCGGCCCCACAAAACTGCCCCCCTGGGTCTGGCCGAGGTCCCTCGCTGCTGATGACTCTCTGCGGAGTCTTGGGTCAGTTGTGCAATTCAGGTGAAGTCTGACAGCACCCCTGCTCCCCCAAACCACGGAACAAGTCGGCAGCAAGCTGACTGAGGAAGTTGTAGTCACTGGTGTGAACTGGTAGTTTTAAAAGCTTCTGCCTCACGTACCTCTCTCAAACATCTCAACGTGTGGGAAGAAAACCAATGTGCCTTTGTAAAGCGGCATGTACACGTTAGTAGCTGAATTTTGAACCTAAAATCAGAATGGCAGGGAATGGCCCTGGCCCTCTCTGAGCCTCCACATTGCCCCATCCAGCACTCCGCTTTGCAGGGTGCAATTCCCTTCTTTCATCAGATCTGAAAAACAGTGCAGATTCGGGGGCGAGGGGGACCCTTTTGAGAAGGTTGGTGATGCCCACCTGTCTATCGAAGGCTGATCTAAGACTCCCTGATAAATGTTAGATGTTTCAAAATCCTGTAAAAACAACAGGATGTGAAACACCGTCTCCCTCCAAAGCCACAAACTGAAATGCCTCAAAGGTCTGTTTTACACCGGAGAGAAAATGACGAAAGCCCTGAAACGGGGAGGCGCTGATTATAAAAGACAGCATGATGCCAGGTAACGCCAGATGGGAGTCGCAAGGCTGGAGGGGCTTCTCGTTGAAACGTTAGGCTGCGAGGAAGGCACGCCTCCGCCCAGCCCCGTCCGGGTCTCCCCTTACCTTGCTCTTCGAGGATCCCGTTGGGCATCTTCTTGTCGTTGGCACTGACCACCGCCTTCCTCTGCTTCCGGAACCTTAGAGACACAGACCATTAGGGGGTCAGCCCGGGGAGCCTGCCCAGAGCCCAGGTCCCCGGGGTGACCCGCCAGGGGATACCCAGCAGGGGATACCCACCAGGTGAGCCGGGAGAAGCTGTTTCTGCTGCTCATGGCTGAGCCGCTGCCCGCCCGGGTCCCGGGTCCCTGCCCGCCACCCTGCCCTCAGCCGCCCGGCCCCGCCCGCCCGCCCCCAGTCACGGCCTCCCTCTCCGCATCATTTCCTCCCCAGCAGGTCGGGGCGAGTCAGCAGTCCGGACACTCCTACCTGAAGAAGTAGGCGGCGAGCAGCAGAAAGAGCAGGAAGACTAGCAGGGGCAGCAGCAGCCAGGCCAGCAGGGGCTGCGGTGCACCGGGGGCTGGAGGGCCTGGGGGGTGAAGCGGGTCCCCCGTCAGGACTCCCACATGAGGGCGGGGGGGGTCTGGGCAGGGGGCGCTCCCCAGCACCAGGCTCACAGGGTGCAGAGCGGCCCCCACCCCGACCAGCCCCTCTTCTCTGATGCCAGACCTCGCTTCACAGGCCACCGATTAGCCCCCATCCCATCAGCCCTTCTTCCTGGACACCAGCGCCCCGCTTCACAGTTTGGAAGCAATCCCTCCCTATGGGCCCTTTTTCCCTGAGACCAGAACCCTACTTAAGTTTGTACACCCTCTCCTTCAACAGTCCTTCACCCTGGACACCAGCGCCCCACTTTACACAGCTTGCAAACTCTCTCCTCCCGGAGCCCCTCATCTTGGACGCCGGCTCCCCACTTTACAGGTTTGCCACCTCCCTGGTCCCCGGTGCCCACCCAGGTGCCTCCACTTAGACGCACAGCGGTGTCGCCAAGAAGAACCCGATCCAGGGATCTGGTTACCTGACTGGCCTAAGGCCCCCTGCTGCAGGGCAAGAAAGGCCCAGACCCCCGTGTAGCCTGTTTCCCCAGGTCTTGGGCACCTGACCCTCCCCATAACAGGGGATGGAGGAGAGTGGGGGTGCAGACACCAACCCCTGCTCTGTCCCAGGATGGGTGGGGAGCCCCCCAGGCCTCCACACGAACTCAGGGCACAGGCCAGCAGCCTGGCCCTTGGCTGGACAGAGACCTGTTGCCACGTGGTGAGCCGGCCTCTCAGAGCTGCGAGCTTCTGATCCCGTCTCTGATCCCGCCTCCTGATCCCGCCTGCCCAGACTCACCCTTGCTCCCCCTTCACCCCTTTCCTCCACCGGCAGGTCCCCCATCCCTGGACACAACGTGGCTGCCTGTGACCTGCCCTCCAAGCCCGAATTCCAGCGGGCTCTGGTGGCCTGGCTGCCACCCTCAGACCCCACCTCCTCCCCTGACAGTCACTCAACTCCTGCCTCCTCAGGATGCCCCCTCCTCACCAAAATGCCCTCACCCGCCAAGGAGCACCCCATATTCCAGGGCTCGCCCGCAAGGACCGGGGCTGGGTGGCCCAAGCCCCCAGAGACGGGCTGCGCACGCGGACAGAGCGACGATCACAGTGGCAGACGGCTTCCCGCTCTGGCTTGCTGTCAGATGTCGCAGCTGCCTGTCTTCTGGAAGGCGGAGGTCAGGTGGGGACCCCCGGAGACCAGTGGGCTTGGGGAGGGTCTCGGGGAGCTGGGGATGTGCGTGTCTGTCCTGCTGGACTAGCCACATCTCAACCCCAGCCTAGTGGGACCAAGGAAAGGGGCAGCTCGAGAGCTTAATTCTCCAATTCACCAGAAGGAGCAATCTCTATTTTTATGTAAAAATGATCAGATTTTTAAATATCGGTGAGCAATTCAACCGAAATACAATTTTGAAAAGCCAACCTGGGCCCCCACGGGCTGGGTTGTGTCCCAGGGCCACCAATGGGCTCTGCATGGGAAGTCGGTGGTGACTAAGAGGAAATTTGAGTCACTTTCTGTTTTCATTTCACACTGAGGTAGCTCAGAGTGGATGGGGCTGGGGGTCCGAGCGGGGGGAGCAGAGGGGAGCTTTCCCAGAGGTAAGTAGGCTGGTGGTCCACTCAGAGCAGCCTTCCCCCCAAATCTCCTCCAACTCTATGCAGCCAGTGCTCCCAGTTAGGTGTGGACAGATGTTCGTGCAAAAACTCGCCCACACACCTGAGGTGTTCACGTGTGTGCACTGGCGTGCATGGAATCTGGTCCTGGAAATTAAAAGTCGGGGGCTGTCCTGGGAGTTCTGGCCTTAGCAGTGCCTCTGCACACTTAAACTTGTGCAGACCACTGCCTGGGATGGATGGCCTTGCGAAGCAGGGGTGGGCAGCGGTGGGTGGGAAAGCCCCTCTGTTCTGCCTCAGACCTGTTTGTGCCTGCTAAGTCACTTCAGTCGTGTCCGATTCTGTGCAACCCTATGGACTGGAGTCCGCCAGGCTCCTCTGTGCATGGGATTCTCCAGGCAAGGATACTGGAGTGGGTTGCCATGCCCTCCTCCAGGGGATCTTCCCAACCCAGGGATTGAACCTGCATCTCCTGAATTGGCAGGAGGGATCTTTACCACTAGCGCCACCTGGGAAGCCTCAGCCCTAAAGAGCTGAATCATCAATCACTTTATTTTCAGGTGAACCTAGGACTGGGGAGCCAGTCACCCTGATGGTGCCCTGGCGCCTCCTGCAGGTACATCAACACAACTGCAACATTTCTTCTCTACTTCTGCGCAAAGTATGCCCTGCTGGGTTGAATGTTTTGCTACATGATCCTGCAGGCGCTGAGCCCTGGGCGAGCAGAGGCCAGCTCCTCTCTGCCTGGCCCAGGGAAGCACTGTCCCGAGGGTCCCAGGCTGCAGTGCTTGCTAGTGACCTGGTACGCAGGGGCCTGGCTTGGAACAAGGCAGTGTGATGAATGCAGATTCTATTTGCTGGCATTTCTGGTCTTTCTTTTCTGTGGTTTTGGATTTCTCTGGGGTTTGAATGTGAAGATGGTGCTGCTAGTTGCCAAAGATGGTCAGGCACCTGGAACTACTCTCCTGGCTGGAGACTTAGGTCAGCAGGGAACCTCAATTCTCCCTGCTCTCAGGGGCCTCTGTAGGATGTTTGTTCAAAGTCAGGAAATCATGTGAAGGCTGGATAGGGCTTGAACTCCTGACCCCAGGCTGAATGGTATCAATTGTAATCACCTTGGTGTACCTCTTCCTGGAGGGAAGTTGATAATTTTTGTTTTCCTGAAGGCTCACCATGACCAAGTTGTGATGCTTAATTTCATGGGTCAACTTGACTGGCCACAAAGTGCTCAGATAATTGGTCAATACATCTGAGTAATCTGGGTGTTTCTAGAGGGATGCTGTTTGGATGAGAATCAACGTCTGAGTTATTCTGAGAAAAGCAGACTGCCCTCCTCACGGTGGGTGGGCCACGTCCGATCAGTTGAAGGTCTGAACTGAACAAAAAGCCGGAGCCTCCCCATGAATAAGAGGGAATTCTTCCTGCCTGACTGCCTTCCAATTGGGGCATCACGCCTTCTGCTTCTAGAGCAGCCTGCCAGTCTCTGGACTGAAACTAGGACACTGGCTCTGCAAATTTTGGACTTACCAGCCTCCACAATCAAGTGAGCCAGTTTCTTGTAATAAGTATAGGTATAGATATAGGTACACATCTTGTGGACTCCATTTTTCTGAAGAACCCTGACCCATATTCCAAGTGATGCCCTATCACAGAAATCCTGGAGTGTTACGTCTGGGAGTCTCGGGGGAAGGAGGGGTGGGGTTGGGGCAGTAGGGTGGGACTGACAACAGCCCCAGGGGCAGGGGGAGGGGTCCAGGCCCTGCTGGTTACAGGCTCCTGCTGACCCCGCCATGGGTAGGAGCCAGCAGACACAGACAGGCCTACAAGTCTACCTGGGAGGTGTGGGGTGCCCAGGAAGTCCCCATCAGCTCCTCGGGGGCTCAGAACTCACCCAGTGGGACCTCCCTCTGTGTCAGGCACACGACCAAGAAGGAGGTGCCAAAAGATGCTGGACAGCCAGCTCTCTGGGCGGTGAGAGTCTGGCCAGGGAACAGGCCTCCTACAACATACTCTTCTGCTACAAACAGCCAACACCGAGGAGTCCTCTATACCCCGGCACGGTTGTCTCTCTTAATCCTCGCAGCACTGGCTGAAGTGGGTACTGTTGTTACATCTTGCAAATGGGGACACTGAGGCACAAGGCGGTGCAGCGACTCACTGAAGGCCGAGGACACTCAGCCGCTGAGCGGCAGAGCTAGGTGAGAACAGAGGCGGGCGATTCAGCAGTGCTTGTTCTTGCTTCTCCTCTTCTCTCCTTCCCTCCTCTTCTTTTAACTTTGCATGGCATTTACTTTGTTTTATGGAGGTGAAATTTACTAGCTATAAAACACACCCATTCTGAGCACGCAATTCAATGTGCTTTAGTAAATTCATAGTCGTGCAGCCATCACCACCATCCAGCTTTAGACCTTCACCAACCCGCTGAGATCCCCCAGCCCATCTGTGGTCAATCCCCGTCCCCCCCAGCCCCCGCCCCCGCCCCGCAGTCAACCACTCACACACGGCTTCCCACAGTGACCGGCCTGTGCCAGGCATTTCGCTCACGTGGAACCATACACTATGTGGTCTTCCCTCCCTGTCTGGGCACCTAGCATGTTTCTCTTGTCACATGTGTCCACTTCTTTTTCCTTTCCTCCTTTCTAACTTCTGATATATGAAATCAATGAGAGACTAGAGTGAGAAACTGTGTATCTGCCCCCAGACTTTCTTGGATCAACCCTGTGGGTCTGCAGCCCCCCTCCCACCTCGTGCCCGGCCACTCACTCTTTTCCAGGTCACCCTAGACACCCCTCTGCTTTCCTCTGCATACTCAAGTATGCATCTCTAAAACGCACAGATGCCTTGTTGTTCAATTGCTATGTCGTATTTGACTCTTTGTGACTCTATGAACTGCAGCACACCAGGCTTCCCTGTCCTGCACCATCTCCTGGAGTTTGCTCAGATTCACATCTATTGAGTCGGTGATGCCATCCAACCATCTCATCCTCTGTCACCCCCATCTTTCTCCTGCCTTCTGTCTTTCCCAGCATCAGGTTCTTTTCCAATGAGTTGGCTTTTTGTATCAGGTGGCCAAAGGATTGGAGCTTCATCATCAGTCCTTCCAATGATGCTTCAGGACTGATTTCCTCTAGGATTGACTGGTTTGATTTCCTTGCTCTCCAAGGGACTCTCAAGAGTATTCTCCAGCACTACAGTTCGAAAGCATCAATTCTTCGGCACTCAGCCTTCTTTACGGTCCAACTCTCACATCAGTACATGACTACTGGAAAAACTATGGCTTTGACTATCTGGTCCTTTGTCTCTTATTTTCTTTTAAATAAACCTAACTACTCTATACCAATATCTCATCATCCAAAATATTAATTTCTTAGTGAATGTCATTAACCGTTATGCCAGCATTTAAATACCTGTTATGGACTCATCAGTGTTTGTTCAGGATTGGTCTGAATTGGGTCCCGCACAGTAGAGTGTTTCTCCTGCCCTCACCGGAGTTGATCCGACTCTCAGCCCAGTGTTATGCCTGCTGCCTTTTGAGTGCCCAGCTTTGCTCCGGTCACATCCTGGGTGCCTGTTCCTAGCCAGCCTGATTTACAGACTCGCAGCATCAGAAGCAGGCGAGGAAGCCGCTTCTCTGCCCATCACCCCGCGAGCTCATCGGGAGGAGGGGCAGGGGGCCGTGGGGCGGGCGGCAGCGGGGTCTTACCTGCGGTCGTGGAGGTCCAGTTGCTCTGCGCAGCAGTGGTGGTGGTGGTCTCGTTGCCCTTGAGAGCCTTGGCGAGGGGCAGGCTAACACCGGCCAGCAGGAATGGACAGAAGGGCTCCATGGCGACCCTGGAAGAGGCAGGCAGGGCTCAGAGGACTCGCCACCGCCTGTCTGGGGCTGGCCAGCCTCCACTAGGCGGGAAACTCAAGGAAGACACAGAGGGATCCAGGAAAAAAAAAACAAAACAGGGTGGGCTGGGGATCAGGGTGGCGCTGGGGGTGCTTTGGGAGAGGTCTGTCTAGCAGGGGAGGTCTGTGTACCAGCACGATTTTCACCTGCACTTGGGGATTAATTTCAACTTAGAACAAGTCGGGTTAGGAACTCCATAACTACCCTCAGGTTATAGACGCTCCTGCTGTTCAGGTTAATTTCCTTTTTGTTTGTCTGTTTTAAGGGGGAGACAGGAGGCAAACAAGAACTTGGACGTGCCTGGGGAGAATAGACTCTGAGAACAACACGCGATCTGGGATTCTGAGTGGCAGCTTCACAGCCCTTCAAAGAGGTGGCTCACCCTGGCTTCTGGATTGCCGCCAGCGGTAACTTGCTGGACATGTAGGAGCAGCTCACTGCCCGCCGGGACACAGCGGAGCATTCCTGTGCGGCCTCACGGCGGCATCACTGCCCTCGGGAAGGATCGCGGGCTCAGCGAGGAGCGGGCTGACCAGCCTGTGGTCACAGGACCGGGGGATGGGGCGTGGGGCTCCGACCACCTGCACAGGGTCCACCTCTGCTGTCCCCCGTGGTCACAGCCACAGCCACACACAACCTGGCCCTTATTCCCTGGTGCTGGCCCGGACTGCCTCCCACCTGAGCTATAGGAAAAGGTTCCCGAATACTTCCAGCCCCTGGACATCCACAGGTTCCCCACTCCAGAGCCTCACTAACTGTCATAAAGCCCAGCTCTGTCCCCTCACTGGTGAGGTGTGAACAGTGACATGGGGAAGAAGTTCTGGCATCCTGTCGCTGACCCTCTCGGCTGAGCACTTGGCCTGCGGTATTCATGCATCATCTCATCTTAGTTTCTCGACTCCAGGCTGGTGGTCTTGTGTCTGGCTCTGCTCGGGCCTGAGCTCTCAGGGGAAGCAGAGGGAAGCCCCCGCCTGGGGGAGGGGATGGTCAGCTCGTCTGGGAGAGCCACTTGGGCACCTTGGGGCAGAGGAAAGTGTCTGCTGGGTGGATGGATGGATGCATGGATGTGGTCCAAGCCTGGACCGCGACGTGGCTCAACAGAGAAAAAGGCTCTTTAGCCCATGAGACCTGCAGGATGTCTCCTGGGACCCCCACTTGGCGCTCCGGTTTGCCAAGACACCACAGACCCTCGGGAATCCTGACGCGACCTCTGAGTGGTGGAGAAAGCCCTCCTAAGCCCCGCCTTCTCCCTGCAGGTGAAGGCGGGCAGTGGTACGTGCTGAGCAGGATCTGATGCTGCCAGGGCAGGTGTGTCCTTTCTCCTGGACGCCCCCCCTCTGTTTCATCCATAAACCCATCCATGGTCAGCCTGGGCGCCCAGGCCCACAAGGCAGCACTTTCCTGCAAGAAGCCTCTCTGAGAAATATGAATGGACCAAAGCCAAGAAACACTGGTTCCTCATAATTAGACGAAGCTTCTGAGTGAGCTCAAAACAGCCCTAGTCCTCTCCCAGCAATCACCACTATTAGAATGAGACCATTCTGAGCACATCTACGACAATTATCCCCGAGCAACTACCATCGTCCCAATCAACACTTCCAGTTCCTCCCTCTCCTTTGTTTCCAAAATATATTTCAGATTTACAAGGCGAGCCATACACACAAAACAGCTGTCATTCTGTGAGCACCTACTGTGTGCTAGGCCTTTTCTATGGGTACCGCCCTCACAATAATTCCTCCAGGACTGAGAAACTGAGGCTCCATGGGGGAACCGGCCCAAAGTCTGTTCAGAGGAAATGCAGGAGCCCCGAATGGAACCCAGAACCATTGGAGACAAAAGCTCTCGACCCCCAACAGGCAGCTGTGGGTACGGTGTATTAAATAAACTGTTACTGAGCACTGTCATGATACTCTTAATATATGGATAAAGAAGATGTGGTACAGATATAGAATGGAATGGTACTCATTCCTTTTACAATGAAATAAGGCCATTTACAGCACCATGGATGGGCCTAGAGGTTATTATACTAAGTGAAGTAAGTCAGAGAGAGACAAATATCATATGACATCACTTGGGTGGAATCTAACAAAATGATGCAAATGAACTTATTTACAAAACAGAAACAGACTCACAGATATAGAAAGCAAACCTACAGCGACCAAAGGGGAGCAAGGTGGGAAGGAGATAAATTAGCCGATTGGGAGTAACATACACACACTATTACACATAAAACAGTAAACAACAGGGGCCGACTACAGAGCACAAGGAACTATATTCAATATCTAGTAACAAGCCGTAAGGGACAAGAATCTGAAAAAAAGATCCTGATGCCAGGAAAGATTGAAGGCGGGCGGAGAAGGGGACGACGGAGGATGAGATGGCTGGCTGGCATCACCGACTCCATGGACATGAGTTTGAGCAAGCTCCGGGAGCTGGTGGTGGACAGGGAGGCCTGGCGTGCTGCAGTCCACGGGGTCGCAAAGAGTCGGACACGACTGAGTGACTGAACTGAACTGAAACTGAGTCTTATATATATATAAGAATATATATAAAACTGAAACAAGGGCTGTGCACTTGCAACTGGCAATATTTTAAATTAATGATACTTCAATAAAGAAATGAAAAAAAAAGAAATGAGATCACTAAAAAATATTTGAGTCAACTAATTAATTAGAAAGTATTAATTGGTTTAATACAACACAGAGAGGCAGAACTCCTGAGCGGAACATTTTTCTCACCAATAGGTCAGTTAAAAAACCCTCTCTTTCAAATGTTCAACGGTCTACGGGGAGACTGGGAAAGACCAGCTTATCAAGCATCAGACACCGTGAGGTCTGAGGTGTCTCCACGAGCAGCAGGTGATTTGCCCAGTATGACCAGCAGAGGGCACTAAACATTCAGTTCTGTTCAGTTCAGTTCAGTCCAGCGGCTCACTCGCGTCTGACTCTTTGCGACCCCTCCCTGTCCATCACCAGCTCCCGGAGTTTACTCAGACTCATGTCCATCGTGTCGGTGATGCCATCCAACCATCTCATCCTCTGTCGTCCCCTTCTCCTCCCGCCTTCAATCTTTCCCAGCATCAGGGTCTTTTCCAGTGAGTCAGTTCTTTGCATCTGGTGGCCAAAGGATTGGAGTTTCAGCCTCAACATCAGTCCTTCCAGAGTTCAAACCGACCCCACCACCTAGAGTCCGGAAACCGTAGCACTTACACTCTGTGGCCAATGACACCTTGCCAGTCCCCGGCCATTCACCTCAAACGGTTTACACAAGCTACCCGATAAACACGAATCAGTGCAAAGACAATGCTTCAAACAGTAATCAAACCCACACTGAATCTTAACAGTTTGCATTTAATCCGTACTTGTGTGCCCACCGAATGTTAAGTACTGAGGCGCGTGAGGCACACTGCTCCATGGAACTGAGATCTTCGAAACGGCTTATTTCCAACAAAGCAGACTTTATTTTTACACCCATCAAAAGTCAGCCAGCTATACAGTGGATTAAAATTGCCCCTTTTAACTCCATCTGATGCCTTTTTAATAGTCTTCTGTGGGAAATGGGGCAGGTAGATGCTGGTCCTGGAAACGGGGAGATGAATACAGTCCCGCCCCTGCCCTAGAGCTGCTCCAGGGAAGGGTGAGCAGGAAACAGGGCCCCCCTCCCAGACCCCACCCTCAGCTCCGGACGTGTGGTCGGAGCCCCAAGGAAGGAAGGTGAGGGCAGGGCTGCACCTGGGAGGTGGCAGAGGCCGAGTGCAGAGGGGTCCGACCAGGACACAGCGGGGCGGGACAGAGGTTTGGGGGAGGCGGAGGCTGACCCGCTGTCCAGAGAGGGGACGGCTTGGTCTGCTGGAGCTCCAGGACGGGAAGGAAGCAGAGAAGAGCAGAGGTAGAAAGACGGGGCTGCGTCGAGAAGGCCCTCGAGTGCCAGGTTAAAGGGGCCGCCTGGTGTCAGAGTCTTGTTTGCCATCAACAACCTGCATTATTAGGGTTCCCTGGCGGTCCAGTGATTAGGACTCAGCATTTTCACTGTCGGGGCCCAGGTTCAATCCCTGGTTGGGGAACTAAGACCCCCCCCACCCAGGCCGTGTGGTACAGCCGAAACAAAACAGCCCCCCACCCCCAAACCTATGTTAATAGAACCACTGGGGGCATCGAACAAAGATGCCAGTTCCTGGGGCCTAACTCCAGATTCCTGGTGTTTGAAATCCAAATATACGCAGTGATGGGGCTCACACAGAGTGAACTGAGAAACTTGACTCTGAGCAAGGAGCTGCCAGGGAGGTTTGCAGAGTGACTGAGCACCGGAAGCCTTCATGAGCCACCCAAGATGGGGCTGGGGCTGTGGGGGCGTAGGGGGGTGAGCCTCCAGGGTGGGGCCTGGGGGCTCGTTAGGAATGCAAGACCTCTCACTCTTCGGAAGATCCCTAGGTGGTTTCTACGCCAGGTGGCGCTGGTGGTAAAGAACCCGCCTGCCAATGCAGGAGACCCAAGAGACTTGGGTTCGATCCCTGGGTCGGGAAGGTCCCCTGGAGAAGGAAATGGCAACCCACTCCAGTATTCTTGCCTGGAGAATCCTCATGGACAGAGGAGCCTGGTGGGCTACAGTCCATGGGGTCGCAAAGAGTCAGACACGACTGAAGTGACTTAGCACGGCACGTACATTACGACTAGAGATGTGCTGGTCTAGGCGATAGACTGAGTAGGTCTGGACTAAACCAGGACGTGGGAAGGGAGGGGAGGCGGGATGTGAGGTGGAATCCAGGTGGGCGGCAATCAGGCGATGTGAGAGGAGTGGGCCTCAGAGGGACCAGGAGGTGGATGGGAGGGGACTTCGTCCATTAGCTGAGACAGGGAGTGGGGGCCCCGAGCTGAGGATAGAGGTCACTTTAGCTTGGAGCATGAAACAGGAACACGGGCTACCAATTCCTGCCCTCCCG